ACATTAATTAAGTGCCGTGTATGTAACCTTTATGTTTTTCACAGATGATTGAGGTGGTGGCATCAATGGCACGAGGCCCTGTGTTTTTGGCCGGGGAAGTTTTAGAGTGTCTTATAACCTTTACAAACCCTATGTCACATCTGTCAACATCTGCCAGCAGGTAAAGAACACTGTATTCAGCATTTAAACAAATTGACAGGGTTCTTTTTTGACCTCTACTGTACATGTGCGTGTATACACACACACACATATATATGTGTGTGTGTGTGTGTGTGTGTGTGTGTGCTGTCAGTCCTGATTGATTGAGTTTGTTCATCTTCCACAGTGAGATGTTGGCCTGGGCCAGTGCTCAGATCCACTGCCAGTTCCATGCCAGCGAGAGTCGCGTGGCTCTACCCGCTCAGGGCACCAAGCAGGACGTCCAAGCTGAGAGCGACACCGTATTGATACCAAGCAAAGGTGAAGCATAAGCAGCTTATCTCAGACTAGTTTTACTTAACTTGTAATGTTAAAAGATGAAGCGAGCAGAATCAAGGTCAGTTTTTTTATAACATCCATATCTAAAATATTGGAATTAGACAATGGTTTGTATGTCAAGTCACCTTTGTTTATGTATAGCACTTTATCCAACAGAGATTGTTTCAAAGCAGCTTCACAGTATTAAACAGGAAAAAAAAAACAGAATCAATGATGCAAACTTCTTCAAATAAGACTCAAATCCAAATTCTGCTGTAAAGCACCTCTAACAAGTCAGTAGAATTATTATTCTACTCCAGTCAGTTCAGTGCTGATGCAGAACACAACAACAGTGGGAAAATTTTGAACAGAAATGATGGCAAATTTTGGCAGTTTTTGGCAGAAAATACTGCACTAATAGCAAATGTTCAGGTTGTAGAAACTGGAATTATTTGTATTGATGAGGATGCTGTGCTTGCAAAATACACAATAATGCAATATTCAAATAACCTTCTACATTAAAATATTTAAAACGTAGTTAATTGGGGAAAATGCAAAGTTTAACAAGTTCCAAGTGAGAGTCAATGACATGAGTCAGAAACCCTATAAATTTCAGGAAACCGCTGATGATGGCTGAAAAAGCACTTGAAGATCAAATAGTGTAATGAGTTCAACTGGTCACAGACTTCCTGTTAACACTGTGTGCTGGAACTTGTCGACTTTTATAATCTCTCTATTTGTTCGGTGTTGAATTGTGCCTTTCTTATCACAGTATAAGCCAAATACTTTGAGTCTATCAGAAAGTGTGCTTGTGATGAGGATTAGACGGCAGGTACGGTTCATTTCAGCTGCGTTATTTATCCAGCTCTCTGTAATCTCAGATTTATTAACAGGAAACCTCTTAATTTTGGACCAGGGATTTAGAGGAGAGATTTCATGATTTCTCTTTTTCTTCATTGATCCAGGTGAACGAGGGCAATGTGTGCTGGACACGCCACCTAAGATCTTGTTCTGTGACCTTCGCTTGGATCCTGGAGAGAGCAAGACCTGTAAGAAACTGAATATAAACCAGACACAGATTCAATCACATATAACTTTCGGCCTAAATGACCCATTACGTTTTCTTTGGATAAGTGCTTGTTTTGTTTACATTGTTTACGCTCTCACAACGTCATTAACAAGAAGTGAACCCCTTAATCAGTTCAGAAAAAAAGCTAATTCCTCATGTCCCAGATAATGTTGATATGCCACTGAAAACTGCTTCATGGCACAAAACCAACAGTCAGCTGGCCAAAGCTCAGCTGTTCAGTCATGTAATTGCACATTATGCTGGGCTAATGTCATTCTGAGCTACCGAAGACAGCCACACACGTAAAACCGATCTCTGCTAGATTTTTTCAACTGAGACTACCACTAAATAATGTTTTCCCTTTATTCAGATTCTTATAGTGAGGTTGTGCCCACTGATGGTCCGCCCAGTTTCCGGGGGCAGGCAGTGAAATACGTGTACAAGCTCACAATTGGCTGCCAGCGAGTCAACTCACCAATCAAGTTACTGCGAGTCCCTTTTAGAGTGCTAGTGCTTCATGGTAGGTTGCACAAATGGTTTGTATATGGTGTCCCTTTTAGCCTTGTCCATGCAAAGCAGAGGTGAATTTTCAGCAAGTTGCATTAGAGATGCATTAATCATTTTCCACACACTTTTTTATTTCTACACCTAAAGAAATGTGTAATCTTTTTAGAAATAGTGTGAATACTTTGTGGTTAACACACATGATTAACCATGTGTGACAGATATGCCTGTGAATCGAGTGTGCCTCCACAGTGTAAGAAAATATTCTTTTGCAGGCATGCCAGAGCCTCCGTTCCCCCAGGACGAGGAAGTGGCTCCCTCAAACCCTTTCCTGGAGGAGGAAGAAGGAAGCAGGAGAGATACAAGACTGCTAGAAAGAGCTCTGGACATGCTAATGATCACCACCTCGCGTCGATGCCCATGTGCGTGAGTGAATGTGGGTGGGGGATTGTGGAAAGGCTTGTGTCTTTAAAAGAATGTGTATTTGGCATTCATCTATCTCTTATCATGTTGTGGTCCTCGGCTAAGATTTGAATTCTGTGTCAACTGTGAACATGCATTTCCTTCACAGATATGTTCAACATCACAAACATGCGGGGAAAGGTGGCTAAGTTCTGTATCTTTAAGACTGTGTACAGGCTCGGGGAAGATATTATTGGCACCTTCACATTCTCAGAAGGGGACATTCCATGTATACAGGTATAGAATACATTACAGGTCAAAAGTTTGGGGTCAGTATGACTTTTTTACTCCAGTCTTCAGTGTCAGAATGATCCTTCAGAAATCATTCTGATATGCTGATTTGGTGCTCAAGAAACTTATTATTAATTAATTTTGAAAATAGTTGAAAGCAGAAAATAATAACACTGCTTATTATTTTTGTGAAAACTAATAAATTTTTTCAGAATTCTTTGATGAATATGAAGCTCAAAAGAACAGCATTTATTTCAAATAAAATTCAAATAAATGTGAAATGTAAATGCAAAAGTCTTTACTGTCACTTTTGATATCCTTGCTGAATAAAAGTATTAATTAAAAAAAAAAACGTATTGACCCAAAACTTTTGAGGATGTAAATGTTTGAAGAAGCGCTCCAGGAATGTGTATGTGTATTTATATCTGCTCAGTATTCAGTAAGTCTACAAAGTGAGGAGGAGGTCCAAGAGCAGTACCAGAGACGTCCCGGCCAGGCTGTCAGTGTCACTGGTCATGGCCGACATCTAGAGTCCTGCTTGCACACAGCCTCCAGCCATTTCTCTCTCCCTGTACCCCTTAATGTCACACCAGGATTCACCACAGATATAGGTTAGAAATCCTTCACTCATAAAAAAGTTGCAAGTCGCATAATGCAGCTTTGGTTGACTTATTGGTCTGTTTCTGCTTCAGCCTGAACCTGGAGTTTTGTAAATCTGTTATCAAACATATGTGAGTAAAGAAAATAAATGAGCACTGATAAGGCAACATTATCATTCAGTGTTTTTATTCTCTTCCCCAGTGATGTTAAGATGGCGTCTGCATTTTGAGTTTGTCACAGCGCGGGAGCCAGTGGAGGCACCAGTGGTTCTGCAGAATCAGTCAGAGGTCACAGTATGGACTGGGGCAGAGCATGTGGATGTGGACACCTTCAGTTGGGACCTTCCAATCAAAGTGCTTCCCACAAATCCCACGCTGGCTTCATATGTTACCCAGTTCACAGGGACAAACAGCATCAACATTTGAGTTGTGTTGGTGTTGGTGCAGGGAGATCATAAAACTAACAAGTTATTGTTGTTTTGAGATGTCTTGTTAGCAGTCTATATTTTATATTCAAAGGTAGCTTATATTTGGAGTTGTTTTATTGGTTTTTATCTTTTGCCGTGCAATGAGATGATAATTCTTTATTTAAGCTACTTTATATTTCAGCCTTGACCAACAGACTGCTTTACCTACTGTAATGTAAAGATTTCTGTATTTATTGCCTATACTTCGTTCGTATGCTCCAAACTATAATGACAAATGGTTTCTATTGTATTTCAATTCTCTATTACAAGCTATTTTGTACCATTTCTCTATATGCAAACCATAACGGAATAAAACTGTTATTGAGTTATTTTCAGCTGGTGGTTTGTTGATTTTTTTTTTTTCTCAAACTGTTGTCCCACCTATATAAGTTGCAATATGTCCTGTATTTCTGCTGTAATTATGACAAAGCTGCTTGTATTAAAACTTTTTTTAATAACAGAAACTGAGTATTGATAGATTAATAAATATATAGGTTTATAAACTTATAAACCACGATTGTTTTCCAGGAGTTTTAAGAACTGTATGTTCTTCAATAAAAACAATAATGGGGAAAAAGAAATATGGTTTCAGTTTCATCTTAATTTTGTGTTTATTTGCATTTGAAATTAAGAGTTATACTCATTTATTAATTTGTAATAATCATTTGTTGATTTGAATACTTTTAAGTCATCCTGTGGCACTCTTGAAAGTTCGCTGAAGCCCATGAGAACCACTGTACTATTAATTAATTACGATTAATCTAATTTTTTTTTTAATTAAAAGAAAAAGATGAATTTTCTATACATATTTATTAGAGTAAATGTAAATATTAGACAAACAGTTATATATTACTAAGCTGATTATTTACAATAGTGGATAAAGGAAAAGCTTTGGCTATGCTGCTTAAATTTGCACCATAAACAAAAGTTATCAAATCAAATATGAGTTTGTTACCCAGTTCACAGGGACAAACAGCATCAACATTTGAGTTGGTGTTTGTGCAGGGAGATCATAAAACTAACGAGTTATTGTTGTTGTGGGATGTCCTGTTAGTGGTCTATTTTAAATTCAAAGGTGGCTTATATTTAGAGTTGTTTTATTGGTTTTTATCTTTTGCCGTGCAATGAGATGATAATTCTTTATTTAAGCTACTTTATATTTCAGCCTTGACCAACAGACTGCTTTACCTACTGTAATGTAAAGATTTCTGTATTTATTGCCTATACTTCGTTCGTATGCTCCAAACTATAATGACAAATGGTTTCTATTGTATTTCAATTCTCTATTACAAGCTATTTTGTACCATTTCTCTATATGCAAACCATAACGGAATAAAACTGTTATTGAGTTATTTTCAGCTGGTGGTTTGTTGATTTTTTTTTTTTCTCAAACTGTTGTCCCACCTATATAAGTTGCAATATGTCCTGTATTTCTGCTGTAATTATGACAAAGCTGCTTGTATTAAAACTTTTTTTAATAACAGAAACTGAGTATTGATAGATTAATAAATATATAGGTTTATAAACTTATAAACCACGATTGTTTTCCAGGAGTTTTAAGAACTGTATGTTCTTCAATAAAAACAATAATGGGGAAAAAGAAATATGGTTTCAGTTTCGTCTTAATTTTGTGTTTATTTGCATTTGAAATTAAGAGTTATACTCATTTATTAATTTGTAATAATCATTTGTTGATTTGAATACTTTTAAGTCATCCTGTGGCACTCTTGAAAGTTCGCTGAAGCCCATGAGAACCACTGTACTATTAATTAATTACGATTAATCTAATTTTTTTTTTAATTAAAAGAAAAAGATGAATTTTCTATACATATTTATTAGAGTAAATGTAAATATTAGACAAACAGTTATATATTACTAAGCTGATTATTTACAATAGTGGATAAAGGAAAAGCTTTGGCTATGCTGCTTAAATTTGCACCATAAACAAAAGTTATCAAATCAAATATGAGTTTTTTTTTTTTTTTTTTGCAACTATTTAATAGGGAATACACTTTTAATTTTGCTCTCAGAGCTTAAAATATCTTGGCTATTGGGGGAATGAGCTGTAAAAGAGACAATAACAGGCCATACAGTGCTAATATTTAGTGTTATAGTTATGTGGTAATAACATGGTAGAATAAGCACAAATTAACATACCCAAAGCACAACATGCCATACAACAGAACTTCTGATCTGTCTCTCACTCACTCCAATACATTGTTCAAACACATAGTCAAACTTAAAAGAATGCTTTCCTCCCCTACATTCTATACATGTCAAACCACTTCCAATCTTCCTTTAAACTGAGCACTTAAATGGTAATGGTTATGTTTTGAGAATACAGTTGCTATAGGAGTAATATCCCATCTCACGTAATAGTGAGACAGATGTTAGCTGACAGGCAGGTGATTTGTGGTTTGAAGGCTTCCTGCATGCTAACCTTCTAGTTTCATGTTAAGTGCTCCATGTCTTGGATCAACATTGTTCTCTTCTCCAGGAATACAGGGCAGGCGAGGATCAGAGGTCATCACCAGTGTGGCCTGGCAGGTCAGAGATTCAACTCGAACTTCACACCAGGGAGGAAAGTCCACAGGCCGATGCACCCTGTAATTAAGCAATGAATTGAAATACAAATCGAAATGAACTACTTTACATGTAGCAACGAGTACAAAACAGCTGAATAGTACACTCCTCAAAATAAAGGTCCCAAAAGGGGATTTTCACTACAATGCCATAGAAGAACCATTTTGTGAGAAGAACATAATAATCTAAAGAAATTTTTTTACACTATAAAGAACCTTTTGTGCAATGGAATGGTTCTATGGTTTCTTCATGGAACCATCTCTTACAATCAAAAACCTTTATTTTTAAGAGTGTATTTTTGACAGAGTGTACTTTTGATCAGACAGAAAAATCTCAAGTTTCTCAATCATTAGATTATTTTATTTATTATCCAATAGAGAAACGAATGCAAGATGTGACGGTTCTTACATTTCGCAGCATCCCACTCCCATAGGGTGCAGGCAGGTGCACTGCACACAGCCCTGCTCCATCCAGCTCTCTCCCATAGAGTACTGCTTCCCATCATACTCACACAGAGCTGTGAAGAGAGACATCGAACACACTGAAGATCAATCTCCTCAAGTCATGACAGTGCCTGATCCACAAGTGCACTCTAAATAAAACTCATTTAGTGTAAATATCATGATATGGGACACCTGGTCTCACCTTGGGAGTTGAAGTGGCACTGCATTGGTGCTGCTGAACATTTCATCAACAACAAAGAGGCCATGAAGATCATCATTGCGCCATGTCTCACCATGGGATCCATCTCAGTTGTTTGATCGCCCTCTGAATCGTTCTCCCCTCTTTCGCACCTTCATTTATACCCCTTGCGTTCATGGGATGGGTGTGAGGAGTGGTTTACCCCCTACCTGGGGTGTGTTTCTGGGGTGGGGGCAGGCTAGTTAGGCTGATTGAGGGGGGTGTGCAGAGGAAAAAGCTGTGGCTTGGCACCACTCGGTTTTTCTCTCCGGTGATTACCATTCTCCGCTCCACTGGGCATGACCTTGAAAAACTATAGAAATTCTGACACATCCTGAGATGACTAAGAGAGGTGGGGAAGAGAGCTAGAGAGCAAGAGAGAGCAAAAAGTTGACGCGAGACAGCATGCAGAACAAATATGGATGACAAGAGTTGCCAATTAAAGATAACAGCCCTACATTTTGAAAAATAAATAAATAAAAATTAAAAAGGCGTAATTTTATCTAATTTGAGTTCAGAAATATTAAACTTTCCATCATGTCCAGTTTTTTTCCCACAAAATAAGAATGAATTTATATATATATATATATATATGAATTTATAAATATACACACACACACACACACACAGTAGACCTATGTATCAGCTTTAATCCAGCGATCAAAATAACAAAAGCAGTCAGTTTTAATTTCTATTAATTACAAAATGAAGTATTGAAAATGTATCATTTAACTTACAATATGCAAAGGAGTGGAAAAATATGTTCAAAAACTCCATGTAATATCAAATAAGTTTACATAAACACAAGTGAATAAATAATCCCCCCCCCCACAAAATCTGTAATTTTCTGTAACTTTTTGGATGTAATAAAACACCCACAGGTGTAACAGAAAACATCTGGCACGTTTGCATTTTCTTCTGTCACTGGCCATATACTTCTAATTTTGCAATCTGGATTAGGCACAAATTAATGTCAGAATTGTTCATCACCTTCAGAATCATTAATATATGTGAAAATCGGCTAAGAACTGAACAAATAGTTGTAACCGGGTTCAAAGGAAGATATAGGAATCATGTCTTTGTGGCAGGTTTTTGGTGATTAAGGGATAATACAAGACTTCTTCAACTTACAAATGGTTGTCAAAATCGAAAATGCTCAAACAAAACGCCACTGAGCAAAACAGGCACTAATTTTGGAATCAGCACCCCAAAATTAGTAAGAAACAAGTGTTGGATTTTATTCAGTAAATATGATGCAGGGCGGTGTAATCAAGCTTTCATCTGGGTATTGGTGGATGGGATTGATAAGATAACTTTTAGTTTATTGTCAGATGTCACCTCAGATGCATGCTAAGGATGGTCAACTGGTGGTCCTCAACATCACTAAATGTTACTAGGTGATCTTCAAACACACAAAAACAAGCATCCATCACAACTGTGGTCCTCAGGTTGCCATGACCCTTGTCTGCTCCTTTGGCCTGAGCTCATGCTGATGATGTCATGGCCGTGGTGACCTCACGTGGGTCTGGTCCAGCTGAAGATGTTCATGAGCAGGAGGAAGCTCATAAAGGCAGAATTGGACTTTTATTGCACAACCGTGGCAGGTGTGTGTGTGTGTGTGTTTATGACCAGAGAAGATGAAGATGTAATATTCCTGAACTGCTTTTTTGTTGTTGGGGAAGGATCCTAGGTAGGTGTCAAGCGTGAGGGATTAGGCTTTGAGCAGATGCCGAGAAGGTAACGTTCTTTGAGCCAGAACCAAACATTACATACTCGTTCGCACATTAGCTCATCTCTCGTCATCTTTGCTATCAAGATGGAAATAATTGCGATAGAAGAAACAGGCGTTTTCCAAGGAGGCCCTGGGGTACCACAAAGTCTGTCTGTAGCATTCACGCCTGTGTCACCCCACAGTAGTCTGAAAGGTGTTGAAAGCTCCTCCCTGTGTACTGCATGTTGTACTACTGCTGTATGGCTCTGACAGCACCTCAGTTTGGACAAAGTGACTCACAGTCTCTCCTCTGCTCTTGCATTCTGACCATGTTCCCCTCTGGTTGAACGTTAGAACTGGTGTCATATTTAAAAATTTCTGCCTCATAGGACATGATTTGTGTCCAATAGGAGCTGAAAAATTGCCAAAAGGCCATTGGGCAGAAGTTCTCATTTTTTGGTTGTCAATTAATCTTTGGTTATTGTCGTTAAATGGAAGAAGTAAATAAAAGTGCTGTTATGAATAAGTCTATTCAACAGATGCACTTCCTGATTTAATGGTAAACCTTGGGTAAGCTATGCCACTGTTTCACAACTTATGTCTTATGTAGCCATCTGTACTGCAATTCTAGGAAAATAAGATTATTTGCCCAGAACAGAATCCTGGGAAACAGAAATACGAAATAGAAGTAATTCTATGAAAAGACAGAAGTACGAACAAGATGTTTTACATGTGTCTTCCACAAAACAGACAAAACATTTAAAATTTCAAACATTTACAACATATGCAATTTTACACATAATCAGCAGTTACAACACAACAGAATACAGATGAGTCTTCAACTGAGATACTAATGAAATCTAGATAGTAATTTTGACAAGACAAACTTTAACGTTGGCTTGAGAAAGCCTAGCCTGAAATTCTGCAGTAGTTGTAAAAGCCTGAAGTCTGAAGATGTTCAGTTTTAAGTATTAGTAGTAAAAGATTTTAAGTTCATGCAGTGTGTCAGAAGGACAAATCATTTAAAAAGAAAAAAATTCTAAGTACCCCTGCTCTACAAGTACCACTCACATTGCCAATGTGCTTTTTTGTTTAGATACATCTTTTGAATCAATCTACTGATTGAAACAGAAGCATTTTAATTTAGTTTACAATGAATTTAAACGGCACTACCCATTTTATTAAAAATATAAATAAATTCAGATTGATCATACCTGCAAATCATATGAGCAATTATTGATGGGTCATAAACAATTCCTGAATATAAAAGTCCAGGCCTGCTGAGGTCAAGCCAGTGGAAACCTTCATCATCCCAGGAGTGCAGCTGCCCTTTGGCTTCAACTCAAAGGAATGTGGCTTTAAACCTGAGAGCAAGGAAGCGGAGCCCCCTCTGCGAGTGTTCGGAACACATGAGGGGTGGCAATGAGCCTTATGCTCTTTAACAGCTTTTGAGTCCCGAGCGGAGGATGTAATGGACTGTGGTCCTGTTCTGTTGTGCAGTCTGACTCATCACCATTTATTATATAACCACACACTAATGTGCAGGGGGGACCCAAGGTTGCACTAAGATTTAGGATGCGAGTGCTTGAATGCCAAGCTGTCAGCGAATGTAAATTAAAAGCAAGAACAGCTTGTTTTCTCAATCATTCTATTGGCATGGTTCTTTTTTGCCCTCACAAATGAGGGCAAGGAACACACTTTTGGTGACGAGAGATGAGATTTTTAGGAAGTACAGCCTATTTTGGTGCCTATATACACAAACGCACCAATAAAATGTTCATTGCATTGGAGAACATACTTGGAGAAAATTATGTTCATGCACCCAAAAGACAGATAGCAATCGCAAATGACTTGTCCACCTGCTGTGCAGAATGGCTGACAAAGGCCATAACCTGCTAGTTTCACAGCAGGTCCAAGCGTATTAAACGATCACAAAGTGAGTTGAGTGCAATATATAAATACCTGTTATTCTTTTTTGTTGATGTTTTGGCAAATTCTTAATAGATGGAGACCACAATGACTTGCAATTTAAAAAGATTCCAAACAGGACCTACAAAATCACATGAAAGAATAAATGCATCCTTTTTATTTTGATTTATGAAGTGCAGTACATAATGAAATTAATTATACATATTTAAATATTTGAAACTTATACAAAAGCTTTAGTATAACAATATTCTATAATCTACAGTGACATGCCTTAATTTTAAAGGTTAAACTCAAAGACTCAGAATTATCAATGCAAATAAATAACAGTACTCTATGTATAACTAAATGCAATTCAAGAGGGCTTTTAAACGCCTTACGAAATTTGTCCTATTTTACTATCCGTTCTTAAACCAAACAGGAAGTCAACGAGATTCACCAGACCAAAGAAGTCATTTCTGATCCGTTCAGTCCATACAAGTCGCTGCGGCTATGGAACGATATGACATCGATTATTTACGTCTGGTTATAATGGTTTTCATCGAAAAGCGGACGCGATGAAGCCCTGGCAGATGTTTATTACAACTTTATTATTGTCTTAAATTAAGACTGATAGTATATTTGACCGGCCATATTGGTTTTCAGTAATCAGGCAGAGTTATATCAAGAATATAAACTGCCTCGAAACGCAAAAGCTGAAGCAGATCAAGTGCAGGGTCTGTGCTCTAGGCCCTGCAGTTTATTTCCCATCGCCTGACAAACCTGAATTTTTAATTTTATATCCGCTTTGTTTTATTCACTACGGTTTTGCATAACACTTCGTCGATTACTGAAGATGGACACAGACAAGTTTAACTATGTGTATAGTTGCGATATGGACATAAACGTCCAACTGAAAATGTGAGTATGTTTCTGGACCTTAGTCATTGTTTTGATTGCAGAACTGTCAAACCAGCAGAATGTCAACAGAGGCTGAATAAACACCGCATTGCTCAAAGACACAACGCGCGTATTACTGGAAGATGCTATGTATCATATCCATCTATATCGCTGTATGTAATTTAATATGATTTTAAATAATAAATCTCAATTGTAAGTCGCTTTGGATAAAAGCGTCTGCTAAATGACTAAATGTAAAAGTGTCTACTGGCCATTTTGATCAGAGTATAAAATGTCGTGCACTTTTATTTTAAATGTAAAGAGGAGGAATCTTCCTTCCATGATATCAAATCGTTGCGATGTTGACCAAAGCGAGCATGGCAATACTGTGAGTCAGAAGTGTTACCACGAGTCCAGCGAGAGCTTTTGTGTTTTAGGGCTGGCATCTGTCTATTGACATCATTCTTTTGTTTGCCCTCGATCTTAACGAGTCTCTGTCCGTGTACGTGTGGATCATAAATAAAGATCATAAATGATTCTTCTGACCCTCGAGTGTCTGTGTCCGGCTGCACACACGCGCATGATGGAATCAGTTTAATTTCACTGTGCGTGTTGCATGCATTACGTTAGAAGAACAGAAGGAAGGAATCACGGGGTGCAAGCAAACTTGCGCAAGACCTCATCATAGGACAGCGACTGTAAAAGCCAAACTGCATTACGAAGAGCTGTCACCATGTGAAGCACTTGGAATGACGGGATGATTAGGCGGTTCTGACCTTCTCTAGGGGGCAGTCGTGGCCTAATGGTTAGACTTGTAACCAATGTTCCCTCTAATTTGTTTTCTTGCTGAGCAAAACTTTTCTCTATTGGGCGGACATTTCGGCCACCTGAGCAAAAACATTATTTATACCAGACCTGTAGAGTGCGCACTAGGGATGGGCGATACCACTTATTTTGTTTTCGATACGATACCGATATTTTTCAAGGCAGTATCGTCGATATCGATACCGATTCGATACTTCTGAACTAAACTTTGAAATTATGAAATTTATGAAAATATTAAATTACTAAGAGTAAAATGGGTAATGATAAGCACTTAACTTTATGTTTAAAACACATTTTAACATTCAATACGCCTTAATTGTAACTTATTAGATTATATTTTTGTTTACACATGGTTCAAATATGTTTTTTGTTTACACATGATTCAAATCTACAAATACTACAGTTGAACTATGGTCACTTTAGTAAAACCATGGCTCATTTTCATAAGGGACTGCCAGTGACAGGCTGTTGCATGCATAAAATGCAACCTTTTTATTCTGACAGTGTATGATTTCTATTAACATTACAGAACAGAACATGATCAATATTATCTTTCAACATTCAATTTAAATAAAATTCAGCTTTGCTTCACGGGAATAAATTATATTTTAAAGTATATTAAAATAGGAAACCAATATTAGAAATTGCAAAAATGTTTCACAATATTACTGTTTTTTTCTGTATTTTCCAATCAAATAAATACATCCTTGATGAGCATAAGAGACTCCATTAAAAAAACAAGGTCAATTATTTATTAGGTTTATAATATAGGCCTAACATAATATAATATCAAAACAAACTGAAGCATTTAAACTGATAGAATAGAATAGAAAACCAACTGTCCGCAACCATTAAAATATTCGGTTTCTACAGCGACTCATTTGGCGCACATCATTCTCTTTCTATGAAACCTGTAAACCGCATTCACCGGTTCTAACTCTATGTGATGAGACGAGGTGAACAGAGGACTCAAATGCAGAGGATTAGATGCAAACAGAGGTTTATTCTCAAAAAGGTGAACAAAAACAAAGCTGTAACCAAAACAGTGAGCAAGTCTCTGGAGTAATCCAGCTTCGGTCGGCAGAGGGATGCGGACCAAACAGGCTGATTACTTCCCAAGACCCAGCGCTCGCACAGGACCAGCAACCTGAGAGTAGAGCGAGGCACAGGGCGGCAGGGCGACCCTCTGGGCACCCCGCGGGAATAGCAGCGTCACGTAATGCCGCGCGGACCTTGGATTCCACCCCCCAGGTGACCGCTGCCACCACCCGTTCGGGAGGCAGGATGGGCACAGGGAGGGTGGGACTAGCCTCAGCCTCAAAGATGACTAAAGTTCCGAATGAACCGCCTGTAAAAATTGGCAAACCCCAGAAATCGCTGGACCGCTCTACGACTATCTGGGGTGGGCCAATCAGCAACTGCTTTTACCTTGGCAGGATCCATTCGGATACCCTCGGGAGAGAGGATATATCCCAGGAACGGAACCGACCGTGCGTGAAACTCGCACTTCTCCACCTTGGCGAATAAACGATTCTCAAGTAGCCGCTGGAGCACTCACCTGACGTGCTGAACATGATCGCGCTCGTTCTGGGAGAAGATCAGGATATCGTCGAGGTAAACAAAAACAAACCGGTCGACCATGTCTCTGTGCATGTCATTGACGAGTGCCTGGAAGATCGCCGGGGAGTTAGAAAGCCCAAACGGCATGACCAAATACTCAAAGTGCCCCGTGGGGGTGTTAAAGGCGGTCTTCCATTCGTCCCCCTCCCTAATCCGAACTAAATGATAAGCGTCGCGGAGGTCCAACTTCGTAAAGATGGTTGCCCCCTGCAAGAGCTCGAAGGCAGATGACATCAGTGGCAAAGGCTAACGATTCTTCACCATGATGTCATTCAACCCCCGATAGTCTATGCAGGGGCACAACGAACCATCCTTCTTCTCCACGAAGAAGAACCCCAGCCGGAGAGGAAGAGGGTCGAATGATGCCTGCTACCTGAGAATCATGAATATACCTCTCCATGGCCTCCCTCTCAGGTCTGGACAGAGAGTAAAGGCGCCCCTTGGGCGGAGAAGTGCCAGGCAACAGGTCTATCGCACAGTCGTACGGGCGGTGCAGAGGCAGAGATGAAGCTCGGGACTTACTAAAAACTGCTCTCAAGTCATGGTAAGCCTCCGGTACATCCGCCAGATTCACCGGCTCCTCCTGCAACACAGAACAAGACATTACAGGGGAAAATGCAGCACCCAAACATTGAGCTAAACAGAAAGGGCTCCAAGACAACACGAAGTTAAGAGCCCAGTCAATGTGGGGGTTATGCTTAATCAGCCAGGTGTGTCCTAAAACCACTGGAATGGTGGGTGAATGGATAAGAAGGAAACGAATCTCCTCAGCATGATTGCCGGAAGGTGTGAGTGTTACAAAATTAGTAGCATTGGTAATACTGGTGAGAAGGGTGCCGCAAAGTGTTCTGGCCAATATAGGCTTGGCCAGGGCAACAGACGAAAGTCCCAAGCGTGTGGCCAGCCCGGAATCCATGAAATCGCACTCTGCTCCCGAGTCAATCAATGCCAAAACCTGATAAGCAGCCCCATTGAACAGTAACGAGGCTTGGAACTCACAACGACCACCAGAGGGCAGTTAAGTACTAGTGACGCTCACCGTACGTGCTCCTTTGAGCTGCCACGTGACCTGCTTCCCCGCAGTAGAAACATAATTGTTTATCCTGGCGATAACGTCGCGAGCGTGCGAAACTCGATCGAGTAACTGGATACTGACTGTTCTCCCTGCCGAAGCAGCGACAAGGCTCATGCCGCCTCAGTGCCTTGAGCCGAGCGATCAAACACCTTGCGTAGTTCCTCCGAGAAATTCTCAAAAGAGGAGCAGCAGTTCAACTCGTTATCCCACATGGCCGTTCCCCACTCTCTCGCTTGACCCACCAAGAGCGTGATGGTGAAGGCTACCCTGGACCGCTCCGTGGGAAAACATGAAGGCTGCAGCGAGAAAATCAGAGAGCACTGAGACAAGAAGGAGCGACATTGCGTTAGGCTCACCCGTGTAAGGGGCAGGAGGATTGAGCCGCGGTTCAGCGCGACGGGCACTAGCTCCATTGGGATCGGGAAGACGGGTTACCCCCTGAGCCACAGGAGGGCTGGTGTGCAGCTGATCAAGCCGTTCCGCCAGCTGGTTAAGCTGGAGAGAGATTTTGGTGTAAGCGCGACAAGAAGCTGCGATTTCCTCTTGTTGCCGACCCAGAAGGGCACCCTGCTGCATAAGGGCTCGGCGCACCTAATTCTCCTCTGCTGTGTCCATGATAACTGGTGAGTAGATTCTGTGAGGAGACGAGGTGAACAGAGGACTCAAATGCAGAGGATTAGATGCAAACAGAGGTTTATTCTCAAAAAGGTGAACAAAAATAAAGCTGTAACCAAAACAGTGAGCAAGTCTCTGGAGTAATCCAGCTTCGGTCGGCAGAGGGATGCGGACCAAACAGGCTGATTACTTCCCAAGACCCAGCGCTCGCACAGGACCAGCAACCTGAGAGTAGAGCGAGGCACAGGGTGGTAGTCCTTCGCTCTACGCGTCCTGGGGTACAGGTAAATACAGAGATCAGAGCAAAGCAGAGCACAGAACATAAAACGCATCGAACACAAAACAATCTACTCACAACAAGGACCAGACAGAAGAGAAATATAAAGGAAAGGGTAATAAGCGACAGGTGGAGTAGAAGCAGCTCATGATCAGCGCAGCCCCACCGCCAGATCAGCGCTGATTTTGGTGTAAGCGCGACAAGAAGCTGCGATTTCCTCTTGTTGCCGACCCAGAAGGGCACCCTGCTGCATAAGGGCTCGGCGCACCTAATTCTCCTCTGCTGTGTCCATGATAACTGGTGAGTAGATTCTGTGAGGAGACGAGGTGAACAGAGGACTCAAATGCAGAGGATTAGATGCAAACAGAGGTTTATTCTCAAAAAGGTCAACAAAAATAAAGCTGTAACCAAAACAGTGAGCAAGTCTCTGGAGTAATCTAGCTTCGGTCGGCAGAGGGATGCGGACCAAACAGGCTGATTACTTCCCAAGACCCAGCGCTCGCACAGGACCAGCAACCTGAGAGTAGAGCGAGGCACAGGGTGGTAGTCCTTCGCTCTACGCGTCCTGGGGTACAGGTAAATACAGAGATCAGAGCAAAGCAGAGCACAGAACATCAAAAGCATCGAACACAAAACAATCTACTCACAACAAGGACTAGACAGAAGAGAAATATAAAGGAAAGGGTAATAAGCGACAGGTGGAGTAGAAGCAGCTCATGATCAGCGCAGCCCCACCGCCAGATCAGCGCTGATTGCACCGGTCACGAGCCGCCGAAAAAGGCATGACAACATAGACAGCAGAGGGTGCCAGGAAGGCACCCTGACCCGTGACACTCTATAGCGATATCAACTCTATAGCGGTTTACCCAAGCATTGCAATTCATTCGCTTTCGCAAATGGCTTTCCCAACTCATTTATGCGTGTGCGCGGCACATTATTTCGTGCGCGCAGCTTAGAGGGAACATTGCTTGTAACCCAGAGGTCGCTGGTTCGAGTCTGGGTACCGGCAGGAATTATATGTGGGGGGAGTGAATGTACTGCGCTCTCTTCCACCTTCAATACCTTGACTGAGGTGAGACCCTTGAGCAAGGCACCGAACCCCCAACTGCACCCCAAGCACCGCAGCAAAAAATGGCTGCCCACTACTCCGGGTGTATGTTCACTACTGTGTGTGCACTTGGATGGGTTAAGTGCAGAGCACAAATTCAGAGTTTGGGTCACCATACTTGGCCACACGTCATGTCCTTTTCTTTCCTTCGTTTCCTTAAAAAGGACGCACTGCAGTTTTAAGTTTTAAACAACTTTTAAGTAACCACAAAATTTTGAAAAAAGTGCATATTTTATCTGCGCCAAATAGAAGCGCGCAAACACTAGTTGTGAAGTTCAGTATCGGACACATCAACAAAACATCTCTGGTTACTCAACGTAACCGTGTTTCCCTGAGAGGAGGGAATGAGACATTACGTATGGGTAAACCATTTTCATCTGAGATGCTGAAGAATCCTGATTGAATCACTCTATTGCTCTGCAATAGCCAATGGCGTTCGAGCATTCACCTGATTGGCGGGCTCAGATGCTAATAGGTGATGTTGGGTGCCAATTAGTGATGGGAAGTCTGGTTCTTTTCCGTAAACCGGTTCTTTTGGACAGTTCGTTTCAATGAACTGGTTCAAAAAACTGTTTCACCGGTTCTTTTATGCCCTAAAGTAATGACGTCATTCACAATGATGTAATGATGTCAAGTCTATCGTCATGGGCCGGGATGAAAATACACCCAAAACATTCAAATATATAAAGTCAGTAGACTAGACACATGCAGTAGTAAGCAAAGCATAGTGGCCTGCTCGCCCCGCCTCCCTTAGTTCGGGTACTGGAACTAAGCATGCTTGTCAGAGAGCCACAGCAGCGCCGGTGCCTCCCTACACAGTCAAAAATTACTAGCGTGATATAGGGAGCGAAAACAAAGGCAACAAACATGTTGGTGCTCACATATAATGCTGGTCTGTATGAGCAGGCATATATAAACGGAAACAATACTTAGGATTGCGGGTTTTTTTTTTTCACTTTCAGAAGTTAGCAGTGCCGTCTCATGCCGCCTAAACGACCTAGATGAGACACGTGCCGGAGAGGGGCGTGGCTTCAAGCAACTTAATTGTCCAATGGCTGCTCAGCCTTCTCCTCCTGCACAGATAGATCGTGCAGTGCTAAAAAGGGAATACCCAGGTTGTAAAACCTCACGAAAGTGTTCTGAGACGATCAGCCCGTTGCAAGATACTGTATATGTCCTGAATAGACTTGCCTTAACCCAGGCCCATGAAGAAACCAGACTCCCGGTAGATTGGGCATGCACTCCGATCCTCGGGATGGATGAGCTAGGCGAACAGCTTCTCCAATTCAGTGTGACAGCCTCTGCTTCGACAGCGGGTCGCCTTAGCACCCACAAAGCAGAGGAATAACTGCTCCGAAGTTCGAAACTGGCTAGCTCTGTCTACATAAGCATGTAGCGCACGCATGGGGCACAGGGCACGCCTCTGTGACACTGAATCAGAGGCTGGTTCGGGGGGGCAGAACACCTGTATCCTAATAACCTGGGCTCTGAATGGCATTGAGAGCACTTCAGGTGCATAGCTAAGTCTGACCATGCAATTGTACGGGTCAAACTGCATACAAGCACTGCTGACTGAGAGGGCATGCAGATCACCCACTCGCTTCCCACACGCTAACGCAAGCAGTAGTGCCATCTTAAGTGAGAGCACTTTCAAGTCGCCCGACTGGTTCGAAGGGTGGGCCAGACAGCGCACTGAGCACTAACGATAAGTCCCATATATACTATGTACGTGCACTGCTGGAATCGAGAGGAGCGTTTGTTCCGCCCAAAAGAGCAGTCGCCGTGCCAAGCCTTGCAGGGCACTGCTCCCTGGCGATTGATGTACGATACCACTGCTGTATTGTCCATTTGGATCAGAATGTCCCAGCAATCTCTAAATTGGGGATGCGGAATTTGACACGTTGCAGGCCTGTCACCTAAACTTTCTGTCCCAAGCTGCCATGCCTTCCGTCTCCGTGGCTCAGTGTCAGAGGTGAAAAAGTGAACGGACAGCTTATTCGTACAATATGAAGATGTTATACTCACCGGAACGGTGCAGGGGATGGCAATCCGGGCACCTTCCACTGAAGAGCGTACCTTCAATGGTGAGCGATAAGAGGCTCCTTCAAACAGCATCGCTAAGTGACGGAGAAAGATAGAAGGTAAGGTAAGAAGGTAAATTGGCGCCTGACATCACCTATATAGCGTTTGAGCCTGCCAATCAGGTGAATGCTCGAACTCCATTGGCTATTGCGGAGCAATAGAGTGATTCAATCAAGTTTCAGCATCTGGAAGGAAAAGGGTTTCCCCATATGTAATGTCAAGAGACCGACTCGATAAGGGAACTCACTTTCCCGTAGATTTACACTACCATTCATAAGTTTGTGCTCAGAACGATTTTATAAAAATACAAAAAAAAATTTATTCAGCAATAATGACTTAAATTGATAACTGGTCAAAAAACATTAGATTTTAAATACACTGTTCTTTTGCACATTGTATTCATCAAAGAATCCTGAAAAATCACGGTTTCTACAAAAATATTAAGCAGCACAACTTTTTTCATCTGTGTTGATTTGATTTCTGAAGGATCATGATGTGAAACTGAAGACTGGAGTAATGGCTGCGGGAAAAAAACATCAGCTTTGCCATCAAAGAAATAAATTACGTTTTGAAATATATTAAAATAGAAAAAAATATTGTTATATTTTCCATATTACTGTTTAGTATTACTGATCTTTTTTTTTTCAAAAACATAAAAACAGGAAAGGAAATCATTGATCAAATACTTTTGTAACCTTGCTGACATTTAGTACAATTGCTCACAATTAAAGAAGTGTGGACATTACTTCTGATTTGTGCTGTGTTCTGACTGAGCAGAAATAGTATCTCCTTTCTGTTTGTTTTTGCAGAGGCAGTCTGGAGGGCAAGAGAGAGCAGAAGAGCTATAAAGCTCTGCTTGAGGACCCCATGCTGCGATTCTCAGGACTCTATCAGGAGAGCTGCTCCGACCTGTATGTCACCTGTCAGGTGTTTGCTGAGGGCAAGCCACTCGCTCTGCCAGTACGAACATCTTACAAAGCCTTCAGCACTCGCTGGAAGTACGTACATTTATTAACTGTTAATTTCTGTGTGTCACACTGTGGCTCAATTTATGCATGTGTGATCCAATAATGAGTCAGAGAAGGAAACCAAACAAAATGTGCCAGAGATGCTTTGATGAGATATGTAGCCTATATATTTTGTACTCTATCATCTTACTTCGATATTTGCACAATAAATGACAAATGTGAAAATATTTTTCATTGAAAAAAAAAAATCCCATTGTAATACCTTCAGATTTCATTTGTGTACTGTACTAAGTCATATGTGTTTTGTCACATTATTATTGTTGTCTTCTCTTCACCTTAGCTGGAACGAGTGGCTTAGGCTGCCGGTGAAGTACCCTGACCTGCCTCAGAGTGCCCAGGTGACTCTAACTGTTTGGGATGTGTATGGACCCGGCCGAGCCACACCTGTTGGGGGCACTACGGTCACCCTGTTTGGGAAATATGGGTAAGGGTCTAATGTTTACAATGTTTGTTCATCAGCTGTGTGTTGTGTTCCTCAGTATTCTTCATGTAAACAAACTAACTGGAAAATGTCATATAATTGAATGCTTTATTGCCCAGCCGTTTTTTTTTTTTAGCTGCGCTGGTTCCAGAAGTGTTTTTCCCATTAGGATTTTTAAAAAGTCCTCATTAAAGTGATCATGTTACACTGAAGACTGGAGTAAGGGCTGCTGAAAATTGTGATTTTCCATGACAGGAATAAATAACGCTTATATATATGTGATTTATATATATTTAAAAAATCAGGTTGTTTTAATAATATTTCACAGTATTACTTTTTTCTGTATTTTAAATCAAATGAATGCTGCCTTTTGAAGCATAAGATAATTATTTAAAAAACATTTTATAAAAAACGTACAAACCCTAAACCTTTGCGCAGTAAAAATGCTGTGCACAACAATTCCGTCCCACCAATCTCTTCTACAAGTCTGCTATGTCTGTACAAAATTTAAATTTATCATCCAAATTTTTACATATGTTAGTAAGGCAAACACACCAATTAATTGCACTAGAATGCTTTGCTGAGTTGGCTAAATTCTTTAGTGAACTGACACTGGCACCAGGTACTTCGGTGTCATACTATTTGTAATACTTCTTTTCGAATTTGTTCAGAAACATATGATTTATGTCTTCACTCCAATGATAATTTCATTGTCTTCCAGAGTTTAAGGTGCATATAACCAGTACATTCAGAATCTGTGATTATATCAGATTAATTTGGATTTATAAAATCTGAAGTCACAGAAGAGGAGCAGCGCCAGATGCCCAATATAAAGTCACACAGTTAGTCTGGTGCGTAGATCCAAAACAAACATAAAGCCAGCAGAAATAACAATCCGCACATGGTTATACGCAGGGCTTATACCTCCTCAAAAAATCTATTATTTAATGCTATATCAGAGGCCGTAAAAAACAAGTGAAAAGTGCAAAACATTTTCGAGACAAAAGCTCTTCCTCAATGCCACATTGATTAGTGCACACCTGCACCCATTAAAACATCAATATTCACCATGGACATCATAATATGCACACAGGCACAAAAAGCACCATACAATATATCAAATATACCTTAAGACATTCCCATACATATATTAATGGTAAAAATTCCTTAATGCAAAAAACTTCAAATACAACATCATTAATGCAAAATGTAAAATATGTTTCATTCATAATTTTACCCATAGATCTTATGTTTCTTATATACATACATTACAAGAAACAATTCAAAACCAATTCCTCATTCATACCAAGGGGATATAAAGATCTCAAATAAAAAATACATTTGCATTCTCTTTGTAAAAGTCGGCGTTCCATGTCACCACCCCTTCGAAACTGAGGTATATGTTCTATTACCGTAAAATTCAAGTCCGATATGGAATGTGACGCTTCATTGAAATGACGAGCTACCAGATATTTTATGTCCTTTCTCCTAATGGAGCTCATATGTTCGATAATACGCGTTCTGATCGATCTACTAGTTTTTCCCACATACTGTTTATTACACACACAAGTCAACAGATAAATGACATTAGTGGATGCACAAGTGGTAAACTGTCTAATACGATACACTCGATCTGTCACGCAACTCTTGAAAGACACCTGTTTTCTCCGTATATATTTACAAGCGGCACATTTATGACAGGAAAAAAAGCCCACTTCATTTCCAATACGATCTCTTTTCTCATTACCCGCAAAAGTGTCTGATTTGACAAGATAATCTCTTATGTTCTTCGCTCTATAATGCGAGAATAACGGGGGGTCAGAGAAAAGGCATGCACATACAGGATCGCTGGTTAGAATGTGCCAATGTTTTTTAATCACATCCTTAATCTCACGACTATGTTTCGAATATGTTGTAGTACAAATAACCGAGAATGCATTAGATTTTACTTTATTTCCAATCCGTGCATCAGTTAAAGTTTCATGTTGCACATTTACTTCCCCTGAAGACCCTCGAATCCTCTCCAGTGCATCATCCAACCACTTATTAGGATAACCCCTAAGGGTAAACGGTTTATACATTCCCACAATCTGTTTCTCAAACTCAGAATTCTCCGTGCAAATTCATTTTAAACAGAGAAATTGTGTATAAGGAAATGCCTTCTTCAAATAGGTTGGATGAGCACTAGTAGCGTGCAAAATGCTGTTTTTATCAGTAGGCTTGGTATATAGTGTGGTGATTCAAGGATTCTGAAATCAAGGATTTCAATGAAACTCTAGTATCAAGAAAAGATACTGAAACGGTATCCACTTCTACATTAAATTTGATCGAATCCACCGATTTGTTAAGATGCAAGATAAAATCATCTAGCTTGTTCCTGGAACCCTTAAAAATACAGAATACGTCATCAACATATCTTTTCCACAACACAATGTTACTTAAACGGATTATTATCCCAAATGTATCTCTCTTCCAAATAGCCCATAAATAGGCATGCATAATCAGGAGAAAATTTAGAGCCCATAGCAGCGCCCTGTTTCTGTAAGAAATATTCATCCTCAAAAATGAAATAGTTTTTTTTCTAAAAGCAATGAAATTATATCCAAAACAAACTCGGAAGGAGGAGATTCCTCACTCCTTTGCTCCAAGAAAAACTTCATAGCCTTCAAACCTTTCTTATGGGGAAAGTTAGTATATAGCGAGACAACATCCTTTGTTGTAAGATAGAGTTCGGACACATCCTGCTCAAAATGTATGTTATTCAACTGCTTAGGAAAGTCACCCGTGTCCCTTAAATACGACGGAAGATTCTCAACTAAAGGTCTCAAAATCCGATCTACATATTGAGACATAGGTTCTAACAGGCAATCATTCGATGCCACAATAGGGCGACCAGGCGGCTTATTTAAAGATGTAGGCACCTTAGGTAACGTATATATTACGGGAGTAACAGGATAATCTTTCGTCAAAAATTTCAAATCCAACTGATTTATATATCCCGTTTGATATAGAATTTGACATATTCGAAACATATTCATGATATTAAGGATTTGATTAGAAAACATTGGCACATTCTAACCAGCGATCCTGTATGTGCATGCCTTTTCTCTGACCCCCCGTTATTCTCACATTATAGAGTGAAAAACATAAGAGATTATCTTGTAAAATCAGACACTTTTACGGGTAATAAGAAAAGAGATCGTATTGGATATGAAGTAGGCTTTTTTCCTGTCATAAATGTGCCGCTTGTAAATATATACGGAGAAAACAGGTGTCTTTCAAGAGTTGTGTGACAGATCGAGTGTATCGTATTCAGGGGCGATTCTAGACCAAAGTAACTGGGGGGGCCAGACAGGGGCCACTTGTGCTTTTAGGGGGCACAATTTTAAAATTCATCTTAACCTACTTTAAGTATTATTCATTCAGTCATTTTTCACCATGTCATGTATCACTGCAATCTCTAGAAGTAATCTATAACAATTTCAAATAAAAATGAATGTTTCATCATGTTTCATTTATTTGACAAATAATTTTGTATTGTAGTGTCAGAGGCATCATTTTTGAGTTGGCACGAATAAAGAGGGGGGGGGCTCTCATGCTTGTCATATGACACACAGCAGCCACAAACAGATATAGGCTTATGTCTCTACTGAAAAAAAATAAAACAATAAAACCATCACAGAAAATTTTAATGGTTTCCACTACAAATAACCATTACAAACATTACAAACCATCAACTTTTAACTGTTTTCAACGTTTTCTGTAGTGTGTTTTGGGACATATTCCATTAGGATTTATTGGTTTTAACAAGCCACCTATAGAAGGCGACCAATTATTAGTAGAGACCAACAGGGTCCATTACAGTTTCCAGTAAAACCAATACAAGTCCCATTATAACCAGTAAAACCATTACAAATTTTGTAATGGTTCTATTATGGTATCTATTAATTTTTAATCTATTATGGTATCTATTAATTTTTTTAATCTATAATGGTATCTATTAGTTTTTTATTTTTATTCGAAATATTCCCAAAATATATCATGAAATATCTCAATTCTCAAATATGTGTAAGTAAATGCACTTTGCACCTTTATAGATTATGTTGGTTGATCTATAATGGGCAATGGGCAAAGTAGCCTAATAGTGTAATCTATTAACTTTGCATAAAAATCCGTCTTTTTACGTAAGTACCAGATATGGGTGTCATACCATAAAATATTTTTAATACGACTGACTTTGTATTTAATGTGAATTTAATAACACTTCAGTCCAGCGAGTTCAAGCACTCTCAAAAACTCCCATAATAATCTCTAATGCTGTTTACACTGTGAAATTAATATCTTGCTTACATCTGAACATCTTCACTTTGTTGTTTCTAATGAGAGAATTAGCCAGAGAATTCAGTCGAAACCGTGTGTTTCAGCGATGACTCATCTGAATGCCTCTGATTGGTCCTTGCATTCATAAGCTCAACATAATCGTATGTTATTGGTTGTAATGCGCAGTGCTTTAAAAACGCGTGTGTCGCTGGCTCTGTGCCAGCCAGCGAACACAGATTTGAATTTAGCAGCTGGTGATGTTTTTCTTTTTTTATATATAGTTTACAGGACAAACTGCGCATTTCACCCAAAATTATTTGGTGTGATATGATTAGTACCAAATTTAGGGGGGCCAAAGGGGGGGCCAAGATTGTTGACAGGGTGGCACTGGCCCCCTAGAACCGCCCCTGATTATATTAGATAGTTTACCACTTGTGCATCCACTAATGTCATTTATCTGTTGACTTGTGTGTGTAATAAACAGTATGTGGGAAAAACTAGTAGATCGATCAGAACGCGTATTATCGAACATATGAGCTCCATTAGGAGAAAGGACATAAAATATCTGGTAGCTCGTCATTTCAATGAAGCGTCACATTCCATATCGGACTTGAATTTTACGGTAATAGAACATATACCTCAGTTTCGAAGGGGTGGTGGCATGGAATGTCGACTTTTACAAAGAGAATGCAAATGTATTTTTGATTTGAGATCTTTATATCCCCTTGGTATGAATGAGGAATTGGTTTTGAATTGTTTCTTGTAATGTATGTATAAAAGAAACATAAGATCTATGGGTAAAATTATGAATGAAACATTTTTTTGCAATTTGCATTAATGATGTTGTATTTGAAGTTTTTTTGCATTAAGGAATTTTTACCATTAATATATGTATGGGAATGTCTTAAGGTATATTTGATATATTGTATGGTGCTTTTTGTGCCTGTGTGCATATTATGATGTCCATGGTGAATATTGATGTTTTAATGGGTGCAGGTGTGCACTAATCAATGTGGCACTGAGGAAGAGCTTTTGTCTCGAAAACGTTTTGCACTTTTCACTTGTTTTTTACGGCCTCTGATATAGCATTAAATAATAGATTTTTTGAGGAGGTGTTAGCCCTGCATATAACCGTGTGCGGATTGTTATTTCTGCTGATTAATAAAATCTGTGCATGTTAAATAGAAGGTGAGGTGTTATTAATTATGTAGGGAAGAAATTATTATTACATGGTTAGAGAGACAAACTTGTCATGTTTTGACATTTTAACACAAAAGTTTGCACACCACTACTTTTATCTGTTACTCCCTTTTATCCATCTCTATGTCTCTCACTCTCTCACTCTGTCTACTAGAATGTTCCGACAGGGCATGCATGATCTGAAGGTCTGGCCGGGTGTGGAGGGTGATGGCAGTGAGCCCACTAGTACACCAGGAAGGACCAGCAGCACTCTGGCAGAGGACCAGATGGGCCGCCTGGCCAAGGTCAGTTTAGAAGCCCAACTGAGACAGAAACTGGAGAAATATGCCTTTGGACAGTTACTGCACATTAGGGATATGTTAAATGAAAAATGGGTGGTGGCAGGGAGAGATAGATGGATATGCTGATTGTGTTTATAGATTACCCAATTTGTGGAAAGAATGAGAATTGAGAATGTTTGTTGTTGTGAGGGAGTGTGCTTGTGTGTGTGTGTGTTCTCTCAAAGGACATGTTTTAACTGCCCTCTGTTCCAGGGCCCAGATCTGGAGATACTTAGTGACGTGAGTATGAGAGAAAACAGAACAGGAATGCTGAATGTATGTGTGTGGACGTGTGTGTGTGTGTGTGTGTGTGTGTGTGTGTGTGTGTGCGTACACCAGGAAGGACCAGCAGCACTCTGGCAGAGGACCAGATGGGCCGCCTGGCCAAGGTCAGTTTAGAAGCCCAACTGAGACAGAAACTGGAGAAATATGCCTTTGGACAGTTACTGCACATTAGGGATATGTTAAATGAAAAATGGGTGGTGGCAGGGAGAGATAGATGGATATGCTGATTGTGTTTATAGATTACCCAATTTGTGGAAAGAATGAGAATTGAGAATGTTTGTTGTTGTGAGGGAGTGTGCTTGTGTGTGTGTGTGTTCTCTCAAAGGACATGTTTTAACTGCCCTCTGTTCCAGGGCCCAGATCTGGAGATACTTAGTGACGTGAGTATGAGAGAAAACAGAACAGGAATGCTGAATGTATGTGTGTGGACGTGTGTGTGTGTGTGTGTGTGTGTGTGTGTGTGTGTGTGTGCGTGCGTGTATGAATGTTGGCTTGTCTCATATATACTTGTGGCCAAGATATAGGATGGGGTATATATTTAGCTTGTATAATTTGACCCACATCTTCACAAATAGGATGAGTATGTTATTTTCTGTGTTTTGGACTTCAGGCATTGACATTTTTGTTGTTTGTCCTCACCAGTTTTATTTTTTTGGGAGAATTTATTTTCAACAGTGTAGATGTTACAAAGCACACCAAGTGTTCAGGGGTATCAAGACATTAGAAACAATTTTTATGACACTATAAACAAATGTAAAAAAAATATGGCAGGTCAAATATAGCATGTTTTTTACATTTATTTATTTTAAATGTACAATTTTTCAACTCATATTATAACCATGTAAAAGTTGGTAAGTTTGCTAGATCAGTCATGTCTTTAATGAATAACCAGACTTTCATCCCCTTTAAAAAAACAGTCCCATTTCAAAAGGAGGATTTAGAAAAATGTACAGACTAAATAAAAGATTTTTGTGCTGGATAATTCAAGTCAGAATGATTTGTTGTGGATGCCATAGATAAAGCGTAACTTGTTTTGAAAAGGGAACATTCCTTGAAATAATCATGAATGTCATGGACATGATGTTTAGCCACTAAAACGTGTATGGCTGGTTAAATAAAGTCCTCTTAGACTCTTGGTGGCCTTTAGATGAGATGTGTTATTGTACTAACTATTACTAACTGTTTGTTTAGAAAGGGCTGAGTCATCTTGGTGTGCTACTTACTCTGGACTGGCACCCCCTGAATGTTCTTTGGCTAATGAGCATTTTTGTGTGCTTATGCTGGCTGACACACCGCTGTCATATGATTGGCTAAAGGATTGTGCACACAACATCTTAGTTGTGTCTTGGAGTTACTGATCTTGCAGACATGTCTTTTTCCTTAAGTTTTCCTCTCTTTTTCTTTGCCTCTGTGTCTCTCAGCTAACAAAAGCTCATCGTCAGGGTCACATGGTTAAAGTAGACTGGCTGGATCGCTTGACCTTCAGAGAGATTGAAATGATCAATGAGGTGAGTGGTTTTGGGGTAAAAAGTGTCACGATATGAAGCCACTGTAATTTTTGCTACCTCTGTGTAAAGCCCAAATGATTTGTAAAGCTTGTGTTTTTTTATCTACAGAGTGAGAAACGTAGCTCTAATTTCATGTACCTCATGGTGGAATTCCCCCGTGTCAAAAGTGGAGAACGAGAATACAGCATTGTTTATTACGAAAAGGTATAGCCATTTACTCTACATTTTTTGCTGTTAAGTCACTAATGAATCAGAATAACTCTGTTTACTTTCACTGTTAATGCATGATTCGTCAAAATGTGTTAGCCTTGCTTTGCTTCTAAATAACTACTTTTTAGTTGACTAAGCTGTGGTGTTAAAGGAACACTCCACTTTTTTTTAAAATAGGCTCATTTTCCAACTCCCCTAGAGTTAAACAGTTGAGTTTTACTGTTTTTGAATCCATTCAGCTGATCTCCGGGTCTGGCGGTAGCACTTTTAGCTGTAGCTTAGCATAGATCATTGAATCTGATTAGACCGTTAGCATCTCGCTCAAAAATGACCAAAGAGTTTCTATATTTTTCCTATTTAAAACTTTAAAACTCAGCAGCGCCTGAAAATAGTCCCCAGCACGCTCCATGTGCAAGCAGGTGGTCACGTTGGTTATGTTGACAGAAGTTAGCCTATTTTCAGGCACTGCGTAATATCATTGCGCCTGCTGCACCCACGGTACGGCAGCAAAGTTCCTTGATTATTACGCCGGAATGAGAGTATAGTTCCTAGCCATATCGGCCTAGAAAATCGCAACTTTTCATTTTCCGTCGGTCTTAGTACACGATGTAACTACAGAGTCAAGTTTTAAATAGGAAAAATATCGAAACTCTTTGGTCATTTTTGAGCGAGATGCTAACGGTCTAATCAGATTCAATGATCTATGCTAAGCTACAGCTAAAAGTGCTACCGCCAGACCCGGAGATCGGCTGAATGGATTCGAAAACGGTAAAACTCAACTGTTTAACTCTAGGGAAGTTGGAAAATGAGCCTATTTTCAAAAATAGCGGAGTGTTCCTTTAAATCGCATACGGCCTTCTGTGCCAGAGAGACACTCTACCTCTGACCAGCTTCTCTCAACATACTTCAGTCAATTTGATTTTCCTTCTTTATATTCTTTTCAACTTATTCAGACCTCTTGAGCCTCAACTTGAGCATTTATCATTGGGGGACCAGAACCAACAGCTGGAAATCAGATTTTCACCACTTTCTTACATTTTTCTTTTCTTTACACTTGTTGTTTTATTAGAACTTAACAGCGCAGTTAAGATATGAGGACAGCGTCATCTTGCATAATAATTAACTCAATCTACAGTTATCACAGGTGTTATTCTTCATCTAGTCTTGGTTGTTCTTCAGAATTGTTAGTTGCCTGATGCAGTTGCAGTGCAACGAACGGGTCCTCCTGGACTCCTACTACAGCCCACCTCTGAGTCAAGCCTGAAAGAGTCATGAACCCTGAGTGGGAGAGCTCCAGTTTGCCATCCCGCGAAGCTTCAGAGGGTCAGATCCAAAAATAGATCCAACGTAGACCCTAGCTGGGGTGCAAGTGATCTCCTCAGAGAGTTAAAGTCATCTGAATCGAGCTGAGATTGGTAGGAGGCTGTTTGTCTCCTTTGAATGTCAAGGACATAGCTCTGCGGTTCTCTTTGCATCAGGCTTATCTGATACATGAAGATCTTCAGTCCCTGGTGCAAATGGTTCAGCCTTTCCTTTGGCGTATAACAAACTTGATAATACATCATGAGATTGAGCTTTCAGTATCTGTGGTTCTTTCAAAATGCAATGCATCGCAGCCTACTTAAGCCTACCTTCCCTGACCTCATTCCGCAGCAAAAATAGGACGAGTGAAGCGATTTACTAACCACATTTATTCAGAATAAAAAGATATTTTGTTTCACAGAGCAGGTGTTTCACTCAAACTTCATTTTACCTTGCAGATCCTCCAGGTTTCATGTCAGCACGACAACAACGAATCAATGCACCTGTCACGCGACTTGTTTTACCACCAGCTCACACGTTCTTCTTTTGTGTCGGAAGCTCTTGTCAAAAGTGCAGTCATTTAAATTCTCAGTGTTGCGACTTTGCAACTCCAGCCTTCTGTACCAATAGCATTTTGAATTGGGTCATCTGACGAGCAAGACCTTTCGGTATGTTCTTTTTCCTTCTGTTTTTTATTTCCTGTTTTTATGTAACAGTTGCATGTTAGTTCTGATTTTCCTGTTACCTGTAACTCCAAGCATTGAGTAATTGGCATCAGCACTTCCCTTCGAGGCAGCCGAGGGTGAGTGGTTTTGGGGTAAAAAGTGTCACGATATGAAGCCACTGTAATTTTTGCTACCTCTGTGTAAAGCCCAAATGATTTGTAAAGCTTGTGTTTTTTTATCTACAGAGTGAGAAACGTAGCTCTAATTTCATGTACCTCATGGTGGAATTCCCCCGTGTCAAAAGTGGAGAACGAGAATACAGCATTGTTTATTACGAAAAGGTATAGCCATTTACTCTACATTTTTTGCTGTTAAGTCACTAATGAATCAGAATAACTCTGTTTACTTTCACTGTTAATGCATGATTCGTCAAAATGTGTTAGCCTTGCTTTGCTTCTAAATAACTACTTTTTAGTTGACTAAGCTGTGGTGTTAAAGGAACACTCCACTTTTTTTTATGTTCCTTTAATGTTAACTGGCTAAATAACTATTAAGGTATTGTATTGTGATACTGTTGTAGAGAAATCAGCTTTTCAGAAATCTTGCAAATTTTTAACAGAGCAATGTAATGCTGGTTAATGTAATATGTAATAACATTTAGCTAGAAAAAAGCAGTCCCCCACAATGAACTGAAAATTAGCAGTCGGGAATGCCTACTTTCACAGTCCAGTCCATTTCAGATGGGTAAAAACAAGCCCCAACTTACATTTTTTCTTCTTGAATGTCTTGTTTTGTTACAGAAGTAAAATAGGTTGTAGATGCCATTTGTTGACTTTATATTAGTGATTAATCAAACTAAATTGCAAAGCAGTGTAGAGCACTAGTTAAAAATGTTCATGTAATAGTTAACCTACTTTATGTAGTACTTAAATGGTTTGTCACATTTCAGTGGTTTTATGCCTCTCTCTCTCTCTTTACAGGATGCAGATGAATCCTCCCCTTCGCCGACCAGTTCAGATATTGTGAAAGTCCCTGACCCTCAGATGTGCATGGTGAGTGGAAAACAAAACTAAAAAGTCAGTTATCTTGGGTTTATGGGTTTGAGAATCAGCTGTTTATGTCTGTCTTATGCTCAAATGGTGGAGGAAATGTTGGCACTTGATAATGTAAAGAATAATTTCATGTAAAATGAGATAGTTGGTACCTGATGGTATTGGCATTCTGTTGCAGGAGAACCTTGTGGAGAGTAAGCATCATAAACTGGCTCGTAGTTTGCGCAGTGGACCATCTGACCATGATCTCAAACCTAATGCAGCCACGCGTGATCAACTCAATGTTAGTGATAAAGAGAAAAAGAAGTAAACAAGATATCTCCTCTGTCTTTATAATACATACATATTTATATATTTATATTTATCTGTTATAGATCATAGTGAGCTACCCACCCACTAAACAGCTGAGCTCTGAGGAACAGGACCTTGTGTGGAAGTTTAGATACTACCTCACCACACAGGAAAAGGTGAATGAGCACACTGAAAACCATTCAAAAGTTTGGGGTCCATAATAAGGGCACATAAAATTGAACAGAAGTGACAGTAAAAACATTTCGAATGATAGAAAAGATTTCTATTTTATGGTTTCATGTCAAAATCACATTATGATTTCCACTAAAATATTAAGCAGCACAACTCTTTTCAACTTTGATAATAATGAGAAATGTTTTTGAGCACCAAATCACTACATTAGGATTATAGGAGGATCATGTGACAAAGAAGACTGGAGTAATGGCCGCTGTAAATTCAGCTTTGCTATCACAAGAATAAATAACATGTTAAAATATATTAAAATAGAAAACAATTCTTTTAAATTGTAATAATATTTCACAATATTATTCTCTTTACTGTATTTTTGATTTTAAAATGCAGCCCTGGTGAGCAGACGGAAAAACAAAAACAAAAAAGTCTTACCAACCCCATACTTTTGAAATATTCTCATTGTAGTAGTTACCAGTGTTGCCCCATTGGTATCTCAGTTGTAGTCTGTGTCCAAGACAAGATCTCATTGTGGGTGTTTTTCTAGGCTTTGACTAAGTTCCTGAAGTGTGTGAACTGGGATCTGCCCCAGGAGGCCAAACAGGCCCTGGAGCTGCTAGGAAAGTGGCGGCCGATGGATGTGGAGGATTCCCTGGAGCTGCTGTCCTCTCAGTTCACCAACCCCACAGTCAGACGCTACGCTGTCGCGAGGCTGCAGCAGGCTGATGATGAGGTAAAGTCTATGAGTGTGTTAGTCAGATTGTCAGTGGTTTAGATACATTACATTTGTAACACATTTTTGTTCGTCTGATTATGTTATGTTTTCATAAGTAGTATTAACAATACTTAATTACACATGCCATTACCAATGGTAATCTTTCGGAACAACTAAAAGATTGATGCATTAGAGTAACCTGATTCCTGTGTAAATACATGTAATTCTGTTTATCCTTGTAGGATCTGCTAATGTACTTGCTCCAGCTGGTGCAGGCATTGAAATATGAGAACTTCAATGATATTCAGGGCGGTTTGGAGCCTGCCAGTAAGAGAGACAGTCAAGGGGTTCTGACAGAGAGCTCAGCAATAGGAGACAGGTCAGCTTTAACCTCACAGAACATGCGTCTATGTGAGATGCACTGTTTTTCCCCCAAAGCATTTCTACATTACTTTGCCCAGAATTCCAATAGCTTTCAAAATCTGAAGTATGATCATAAGTACAGTTGTAATTCTAAAAAATTAAAAATGTAAAAACAAAAAATAGTGAGGGTTACAGTGATTTATTTTTCAGTTCCCAGATGGCATCGACCGTCACTGTGATGCCCAGCACGCAGAAAGGCAAAGAGGGAACAGATGGTGAGAATCTAGAGGTAAGTAAAAAAATATATATATTTTTAGATGGATAGTGGATGTGAAGATTATATAACAGTGCATATGACCTGTGTTCCACAGCAAGATCTTTGCACCTTCCTTATATCACGTGCCTGCAAAAACTCTACACTGGCAAACTATTTATACTGGTGAGTAATGGATCGAGGTGTTTAGAAGTTCTGTTCTTACGATGTCTACAACAATGTGCCAGTTCTGCCGACTCCATATTAAAGATTCGTAAATGAAAGAAAATATTTGCACATTGTTTTCTACTGCAGGTATGTAATTGTGGAGTGTGAGGATCAGGACACACAGCAGAGAGACCCCAAAACCCATGACATGTACATCAATGTAATGCGGCGGTTCAGTCAGGCTCTGCTCAAGGTACATTCACATTCTGAACCCACGTGGATTATAACAAACTAATGTAAAATGATTCTTAAAATGGTAAGAAAAGTACATTTTTCTTACCATTACTGCATTTATTTGATCAAAAATTCAGTAATATTTTGAAATATTATTACAATATAATAAATGTTTTCGGTAACACTTTATTTTAAGGTGTCCGTGTTACACGTTACATGTACTTACTATTATAATAACAATTAATTATGAACAATTACATGCAAGTAACTCTAAGCCAAACCCAAATCCTAACCCTAACTATATAATAAGTACATGTAGTTAATTAATATTACTCAGTACTTATATGTATAATTACACTGTAACATGGACACCTTAAAATAAAGTGTAATCATGTTTTCTATTTTAAAATGTAATTTATTCCTGTGATCGCAAAGCTGAATTTTCAGCAGCCTTTACTTCAGTTTTCACTGTCACATGATCCTTCAGAAATGATTCTATGCTGATCTGGTGCTCAAGAAACATTTTATATCATTAATATCAATGTTGAAAATAGCTGCATAATTTAAGTGTGATATATGTTTTATCTTTTTTTTTTAATTTTCCATTTAAAATATTATGCAGCTGTTTTCAACATTGCACCAGATCAGCATATTAGAATGATTTCTGAAGGATCATGTGACACTGAAGATTGGAGTAATGTTATCTTTTCTTTGATTCTTTGATGAACAAAAAGTTCAAAAGAACGGGTTAAGACGGTACTTTCGAAACTGGTACAAACAGTGAATTTTGTTTCTATTTGATTGTATAACCATTTAATGCCACTTATTATACATATTGGTTGATAAATGTAAATAAATGATAAGTGTTTACATAAAGGATATTGTAAATAATATGATGTTTATGATGTCTGTTTCCAGGGTGATAAGAGTGTGAGAGTGATGCGCTCCCTTCTGGCCTCCCAGCAGACGTTTGTAGACAGATTAGTGCAGCTCATGAAGGCCGTTCAGAGAGAGAGTGGAAACCGCAAGAAAAAGGTATGTAACACTGGGTCAGTTTTAATAGCTGCTGTAGATGATGGAATCAGTTGATCAGTTTTTTGTAAAGTTATAAAGTTAATTGTATCATTTCTTTCTGTCTCTGACAGACGGAGCGATTACAGAGCTTGCTGGCTGATAATGAGAAGGTGAATCTGTCAGAGATCGAGCCCATCCCTCTTCCTCTGGAACCGCAGATCCGCATCAAAGGCATCATACCTGAGACTGCAACACTCTTTAAGGTTTTGTGCATCATTCATATCCATTGCATTGTGTAACACATGCATCCGTCCAGCCCTGACCGCTGGTTTTGTCTCTCCCAGAGCGCTCTAATGCCAGCAAAGCTCATCTTTAAGACAGAGGATGGGGAGCAATATCCTGTCATTTTTAAACATGGAGATGACCTGAGACAGGACCAGCTCATCCTGCAGATTATTTCACTCATGGACCAGGTCTGAAGCCATTACATCTCATCACACAGTACCAAAAGGACACAAAGTTTATATCAGAATTCATTAATGACACACAAAAGTCCAAATTTATTCACAGATGTATGTTGGTTTTATATAAAGCTACCACTAAAATAAAATAAGTATTAGTAGTATTTAGATTTTTTGTCAATTGTTATCAATACTTTCTCACTGTCTTTAACAGTTGCTGAGGAAAGAGAATTTGGACCTGAAGTTGACTCCATACAAAGTTCTGGCTACCAGCACCAAACATGGTCAGTACTGCTTCACCTCTTCTGTGCAGAACAAACCCATGAGCCAGTCAAGTCATGTGGGAGTTTCATTTCACACTGGATGTGTATGATTTGTCTGCAGGTTTTATGCAGTTTGTGCAGTCAGTACCTGTGGCTGAGGTTTTGGCAACTGAAGGCAACATTCAGGTAATGCAATACATCAACAGTTGCCCAATCCTGCTTCTGGAAAGCCACCTTCCTGCAAAGTTTAGTTACAACTTTAATTAGACACTCCTCAAGGTTTTCCGGATCACTAGAAACTTCTTAGCAGGTGTGTTAGAACAGATTGGAACTAAGCAGAATCGGACACCCTGTATTGCATGGTCATAATGACTGCCCAATTATTTCAAATAAAATTGAAAACATGATATGGCCTAGGCCAATTAGTAAATACTAGAAGCCTTATTTATTTAAATAAAAATATAGTGTGCATGTGCTGCATATGTTATTCTATAATAAATTAATTTTATATAATGAAATTCTAATTAATGGCACAATTAGGTATGGCACATACCAAATTGTTTTGGATCTTTTAAACACGTTTTCCTGTGTTTGTTTGTAATATAAGAAAAAAGTCTCATGTCTTTGTATTTCTCTTGGTTAATCTGTCTCCATGTAGAGTTTCTTCCGAAAGCACGCTCCGAATGATAAGGGGCCATACGGCATCAGCTCTGAAGTCATGGACACATATGTTAAAAGCTGTGGTGAGCTTCAGTTTGTGAATCCATTAATACTTTATTTAGCTTATTATTTATTCAGTACTTTAAAAATCATCATTTACTTGTACTAAATTAATATATACTTTTCAGCGGGCTATTGTGTCATCACATACATCCTAGGGGTTGGAGACAGACATCTAGACAACTTGCTTCTCACAAAGACTGGTACACTCCATAAGCGCACCACAATTTTTAATGACTTGTAAGCACTGAAAAGAAAAAAAAACTGATTGGATATGTTGATCTGTCTCTCTGGCTTGCAGGGAAGCTGTTTCATATTGATTTTGGATATATTTTGGGTCGGGACCCTAAACCCCTGCCACCCCCCATGAAGCTGAGCAAGGAGATGGTGGAGGGGATGGGGGGCATGCAGAGTGAACAATACCAGGAGTTCAGGAAACAGTGCTACACTGCCTTCCTGCACCTGCGCAGGTGAGTTACAAATGGAAGACCTACACTAACATTCAAAAGTTGAACTTTTTGAAAGAAATGAATACATTCAGCAGTGATGCATTAAATTGATCAAAAGTGTCAGTCAGTATTGATAATAATCAGAATGATACTTGAGCATTAAATCAGCATATTAGAAGAACTGAAATGAAAGTTTATGTCACACAAAATACTGGAGTAATGGCTGCTGAAAATTCAGCTTTGCCATCATAGGAATAAGTTTCATAGAGAACAGTTATTTTAAGTTGTAATAATATTTCACAATATTACTCTTTACTGTATTTTTATTAAAATGAATACAGCCTTGGTGAGCATAACAGACTTTTTTCAAAAACAATCAAATGTCCTACTGACCCCAAACTTTTGAAAGATAGTGTACTTCATTTATGTAGTATATCAGTAGACTAAATCATAGAAATTAAACTTTTTTTTCCCTCCCTTCATATGCAGATATTCAAATCTCATTCTGAATCTGTTCTCTCTGATGGTGGATGCAAATATTCCAGACATTGCACTGGAGCCTGACAAAACTGTAAAAAAAGTATGTGTGGTCCTCACATTTTGTTTCCAAATCTTCAGAGGTAAAATCAGCTGGGCGGTAAAATAACCTGTTCATTCTTTGCCCGCCCACTGCAGGTTCAGGACAAATTTCGATTGGACCTCTCAGATGAAGAGGCGGTGCATTATATGCAAAGTCTGATTGATGAGAGCGTAGGTGCTTTGTTTGCTGCAGTGGTTGAACAGATACACAAATTTGCACAGGTGTGTGTATGTTCTCATATTTTCACTTTTTGCCCTTTTTGAAAAATCGGCATGGAAAATGGCAAAGCCTGTTGTCTTTAATGATAAATTTCAGGATGTTAATAAAAATAAGCTCTGCTGCTGTTTGCCAGTTGCCTGTTGGCCAGTGCTGCTAAATTCTGGATTACACTACACAACTTTTGCACAGATTTTTGCCCCCGTTTGCAGTCTTGATGCTAGTTGCCGTAATTGAGAGTCAGTCTTCAGATTTTGGTCATTCAGAGTTCACAGAAAATTGCATTGTATGTGATGGACAGACTCTGTTTTTTTTTTAACATTGTTATTTTTTTAAGGATATTTTGAGCTGATTTAAGAATACATATTTTTGTGACATATCTCCTAGCAATGAGGAACACTTTTCTGCTCAGATTTTAAAAGTAGTGTAGTGTATTCCAGACTTAACAAAGTTCACACTTCTGTTTATCGGCTATTTTTATTTACCAGCACAGAAAACCCAACATGGCAGAACATTAATTGTCTTCTTTTACTAATGTTTCATGTTTGAAATCGACAGTATTGGCGCAGATGAGGTGATGTCATGGAGGCTGATTCTCACATTATCAGTGAGCAACAGATAGATGGACTGCAGCAACAAATGAATGATGGAGAAGAGAAATGGACACGTGCCAAGGCCACACTAGTGACATCATGTTTTCACCATTCATGCACTAGGTCTTGACTCTGCTGAATATCTTTGTAAATATAAAATTGTAATAAAATTAACTGTATATGTAAAAAAAAAAAAAAGACAGCCAAATAAAGATTCCAACTTTAGCATTTGTGTTTACTGTTTAGTATTCAGTTTTCATTATATTCACTTTAAAGTTCAAACACTCATATAAAACATTTATAGTCTGTGTTAGTAGAATTCAGTTTGGTGTTTTGGTATGTTTTACAATAATAGTTAAAGAAAATGAATCATCCGTTAAATACGTAAATGAAACCCTTGACTAGGCTCAGTTATTTGTTAAGGTGTGTCCTTCCATGACAATGAGTGGTTCTGATGCATGTGGTGATTTTAAAGGTTTCTCTGGATGAGAATGTGCACGTTTCCTTTTGTGCAGTGCGAGTCAGTTATTGAGTCACAACATCCTATGAGAAGTATTCTCTATGGCACAGCTTGTGTATAGAAATCTGCCAATGGTTTAGAATTCGACTAAAGTTTTTTGAAGTTCAACATTATTATACATTATTAGACTCTTCAGGTTCTATGGATTAAATCTTGCACCCACCATCATTGTCTAAACATAAATCCACTGAGCAACTCTAATGCAAGTTTGTCTTTAAAAAATAAAATAAAAAAATTACAAGCCTGAACAGATATATTTGCTATCAGTAAGTGTTTAAAAAACAAAAATCATTAAATTAATTAATACTTGCAGTTATGAAGAAAGATACCAAAAAATATATATAGTGATGAAGAATATACATGATATTTGGTAAGAAATTTAAGTACAGGTTTAGCTTGCGTTTCTTTTTTTTTCTTTTTTTGGGCCTACGGTATATGTGTATGCATGTTGTCTTTCATGCTTGTGGGCTGTGGTTTATTAAAGCTGAACTTAACCCATACGGACTTCTTTCCATTCTGCTACATTTGGTCAACAAGAAACTTGACATTTAAAACTCGAGTCATCTGTTGAGTGCAATAGCAGTGAATATCTGCATTTTAGAAATTCATTTGGAGGTGGCGGCATAATTGCCACGCATGGTTATGGCTTCACAAAAAGTAAAAAAAAAAAAAAACTATTATTCTACAACAAATTTCCCTTCACTGTTACAGTAGCAAAATTCAACAACCAATTAGACCTCACAGAATTGAAGTCGAGTCCACATACACATTCTCACAAAGGAGGAAATAAGAAGAAAGCATGCATACTTATATACAAAGCAACTATACAAAAGCAACATACGTGCTACAATACATTTTCCAGAACCTAGAGTCTCACGAGTTTCCTGGGAGCATTTCCATAACTGTTCCAGAAATTGTGCACCTTAGCGTGGTTAACTGTGAGACACGGTCCGCAGAAAATGAGAGACAAAATAGGGCAACTCTGAGTCAGAAGTAAAAAAATATGGATCCAAATTTTTTTTTTACATTAAAACAATGAATCAAGCCATACAGAAAGCATACCTTTTACTCACAGTTACCCAAAAATAACACTGCTCCTCATTGGGACAGCGTAAGGATTTATAGTGCTCTGAGTCACTGAACTGTAGGGGGGATCCCAAACAAACCACAAAGGGCAGTAATAATGACTGCTAGATTCAGGTCAGCGACATTTGACCATTGATGTACACATGCATGAGGAACGTGCATGACGTGACACTGTATTCCCTTACAGTAAAGGGAATACGTGCTGAACTTAATCTGACCCGACCTAAGCCACCCAGACTAAGATGGAGGATATATAATATTAAAGTCAGCATGCTTTCCTTCTTAAAAATGACAATTATTTTGATTCAAAATGTCATAAAAGGATCTTCAGGTGAAAACGGAAACAACTCTCTGATGATGTTGGACTTCTGCAAACTCCATTTCCAAACAACAACCGATAAACAGAATTAAGTCCTTGTCTTTACTTTTCATTAAGCATTAACACTCAGATGTACATCACAATACAGAAGAAAAGATCTGTCGCTACTTCCATTCATTGCAACTTTAGCAATGACAATAGTTAGTGGGCGAAAGGGCAGAATCACACTATCACAAATTAACAGCACCAAAAAAGCGGGTATTAAAAATTGTACCCAAAGCAATTCCATATCTCGAGTCTAAAAAACGTTGTATTCAACCTTTTGGAAAAAAACATCAAGAGTTTCAATTTGCTTGGATGTTTCCATTGGTCTCACATTCAGTTTTCCCCATATGACATCTTCAGACTGCTCTGGGTGTTCAGTTGACGTCTCGTCCTGTTGAATACGTTTCACTCGCACTGAGCTCAGAGGGATGTTTGGAGTCTCCTCACACTGATTCTGATGTGGACATGCCTGCTCTGCCTCTAGAACTGGATGTGATGATAATAGACGACACTCGTCGTGTTGGACTTCTGTGCTCAACTCTTCAGACCCCACAGATTCCTCAATGCAGTCTGGATTGTGCACGATGGGGCTTGTGTAATAGCCGTTGCCCAGGCTTTGGGTGTTGTAGTAAGATGACTGGTTGTCCATGAGTGTGAAGTCAGAGAAGGATACAACAGAAACGTGGTCACCCTCAGAGCTCTCGTTGTGTGGTGCAACCTTACTGGAGTCAATGAAAGTCTCATTCTGAAGTTCCAGGTCTCGAAGTAAAGCCTGAAAGCACACAACATGGTTTGTATTTTAAATGTAAAACACCTAAGATGGTCATTAAAAATTATACTTAGTTCATAAATGCACTGAATCCAGTTAAAATGGTTTGTGACAGATTAAACAAACAAAAAATGCTTCTGCATTAGAAGGTTTTGGAGAGCTCCTTAGAGTCACTGCTTTTATTGGTACTAAGAATGACTAAAATGCTTTGCAATATACAGCTAGTGGAGCTTCCTTTACTGTATATCATACAAAAGTAAAAGTACAATTTGATTGGATGACTGTTGTTCCAAGAGTGCTTATATGGACCCTTATAAGACTGATGACACATTTCTGCATTACATAACATTGTAAATCTCTATATTTTTTTCCTATTGAGGAAAGTCGTGAAAATGCAATAGCTGATTATTTCTTTTAGTCTTGGAGCAAATGGGAACACAAAAATAATTTTCTATGGGCTTCCGTGTACCTCTGTAGAGCTGTGGTTCTCTACCTTTTTGACTTGATTTCTGCCTGTAATAATGACAAAGCTGCTTTTTTTAACAACAAACTGGGAGTAGTGCTGTCTCAAATTAATTGATTTGGTGATTACTTATGTTTCAAGAATGGTATTGTTTTAAATAAAAACAAGTTATTAATATATACTTTAATATATTAAACCTAACCCTAACCCTGTTCCCTGGTGCAGGACCACAAGATCTTTTAATGGGAACCAGTTTCATCTTTTTAAAATAAAAAAATACTCCCTTTTGTTGTTTAATTAAAATGTAAATTACTCAATATTAACTTATAAAAGCAAAAACACACTTGCAATCGTGCTCATGTAAGTTCAGTACCAAAGATCTGGGCAGCGGACGTTCAGAAGAGGAACACTTTCTCCAGACCAGAAAAAATACTAGGCCAAGAACGATGAGAACAGCACACACAATTATGACGATGAGGCTTTCTGAAGAACACACAAACACACACATGCATGAGTGCAGGCAACCAATGCACACATGTGCAAACAAATAAGTGTGTCTTGAATCATTATACCACAAAATAAGTAAAAACGCTTTGTGTAAAAATAATGCACACCGAGCTTTGCTGGTATGTAAACACACTGCGGGAGGCTCGGGGGAGAAGAGGTCAGTACACCCTCAGCTGTGAAGTTCGCCACAGCACAGTACACTTGCCCTGGTGTAAGAAAACCAAATTCCACCTTGAATGGGTTTTCAAGCATCACTTCAGCGGTGTATGCCTTTAAGAAAAATGAATGAAAAAAATAAAATGGAACTCTAATTTTTAATCTAAATGTAAACACTACTGTAAAGAAATAAATGAACAAACAGAGGTTAAAGGGGAAAAAATGGGGTAAAGGGATGTAAAGATGAAAACGATGAGCCTGGATTGTTTCTCACTGTGGTTTATTGCTAAACCACCCAGTTTCACCTCTCACCTCAGTGCTCTGCTGCTCCACACTCTCATTTCTCCCCTAAACAATATCTTCCATATCATTCATAGTTACTCGTGTATCTAAACTCCTTTTGTGTGTAGATGACACTCACCCGTGTGTCTTGCTCAAGACAGTGTAAGTCGTTTTAGGGTTGGCATCAGGGCAATCCCATTCAAGATGGCATCCGAAATTGATCGTATGCACTCTGATGTCACAGACAGAGACTACAGACTCTGAACAAAACATGAAAACAAGAACATGTTGCACCTGTGTGTAACAGACATGATCTGAGAACATAGGCTACAGTGCACCAGATGAAAGACAAAAAAAATAAATAAAAACTACTAATTCACACGTACAATGTACACTCACCTACATTCAACACCAACAGAAAGAAACATAAGTGTAGGAGAGCGACAGGCATCCCCACAACAGCATGCTATTTTATGAAAATAAATAAATAAATACAAATAAATAGCTTATCCAAATGCCTTGGCTGATAATATCTCTACAAAGCTGACTGACAAAAATATTAACTATTTATAATGAGGTTAAAAAAAATACACTTTACCTTAAACAAAAGAATGGAGAGATTTCATTAGCTGTTACTTTCAGTGGCTGAACAGAAAAAGTGAGAAGAGGACAGCTGTCACAGCATAACTTATGCCACAAAACCACACAGGGACTGAACCCACTCACAGAAACAGAACTGGAGAAGAGAACAAAAGCTCTCTCTAGAGGAAATGGTATCAGAAATATTATTAGATTATAGCAATTCATAAATATTATAATTCAGATTTATTTTACAGCTACACATACAGTGGAGACCAGAATTAGAGAACAATGTATAAATAGTTGATTTTTTTTCTGAAATATTGATAATCGTCACCGCTCAAAATATGAAGGAATATTAGCTGTAGGTTATACCACTGTTATACTAACATTTTGACAAAATACCAAGGGATTTCAACAAAAGTCTTTATTTTGTGGAAAACACCGAATAAAATTAGAGAACTGTAATCACTGTAGCACAGAAGATGATTACAACTAAAATGTTGGAGGGTTACAGCTGTCAGAAATTAGTAGGAAGTGTAGAGGCCCCTGCTTTGAGTGACTTCAGCAGATCTGCGGCTGCAGGATATCACTAGTTTCTCACACTGCGCTGGTCTTGATCCACTCTCTTCCATGGTTCACTAACTGTAGTGGGTTTCTTACCCATAACTTTGTTGCCAATGATTCTCCAGAGATTTTCAGTTGGGTTCAGATCTCTGGGCCGGCCGTTTCATTATTTCATTTCAATGTTGTTAGCTTCAAGGAACTGCTTTACCTGTTTTGCAGTGTGACGGGGACATTGTCTTGCATGAAAATTGCAGGCTGATTGGGAGATGCTTGCAGGGAAGGTACCGCATGTTGCTGAAGGAGGTTCTGATAAACATTTGCATTCACCCTGCCATGTAGCTGCAAAGTGGCCCAACTCCTGCTGCAGAAAACTTACCCCAAACCTTGACCTGACACTTCCTCCTCCACCTTTCACTGACTTTATGCACTCGTTGTTGTCTTTTCCCAGTTTGATGCTGAACATGTTTCCCATCTGACCCAAATAAATTAGCCTTGCTCTCATCACATTTTCAGTGTGCCTTTTCAGTCAACTGGCAAGCAATTCCAGCTGCAGTGAGCCGATTCCCCACTGAGAATCTCCGTATTATCCGGTATTCTCGTGCATTTGTCTTACATAGACAATCAACCTTTTTGGGAGACTTGAATGAATTAGTGTCATTGTAAAGCTGCAATATTCTAGAAATCACCGATTTGGAATGACCAACTTCTCTTGCAATGGCTGAAAGGGGCATCCCTTTGGTCTTCATCTGGACAACCTCCTGTCGCAAGGTTTCAGTCCCCTTACAGCGCACTGCCATCTTGCAATCTTAGTGAAAATTAGAGGAATGCTGCCAGTTAAATAGGGTTTGTCATAGAATTAAAAAAATTAACACCAGGTGCCAGATTAACACCAAATAACAAGGAGGTATCTGTAAGTGTTCTGTAATATTGATCAGAATCAGAATATTGAGTTCTCTTTCAAATATGTAATTTTTTTATGCTGTGCTTCAGAATACTATTAATTTATGAAATCTGCTTAAACTGCCCTTCTACTCCTGTTAGAACTTCAAATAGGACTAAACAGTGACCCTGAAATTCAGGAAATTGTAGGTTGTTTTCTAATTTCGATCTCCACTGTAAATATATAACTTATAGTTGTTCTAATCTACAAATGCTACTGTTCAAAAGTTTGGGGCAAGATTTTTTAAATGAGTCTCAAAAGAAATCACTTCTACTCACCTAAGCTGGATTTATTTGTTCAATTTGCAATTATCAGTCAATATCAATATCACATTATCAATGCTGAAAACATTTGTGCGGTTTAATATTTTTGTGGAAAACCTGATACATTCAGGACCGAAGCACATCAAGTCAAAAAATTATTTTCATTGACTTGTCAGTCTTGACTGTCAGTTTTGTCAATTTAATGAAATTAATATTGTTATTCCTTGCTAAAAAAAAATAAATAAATAAAAAAAACTGACCCCAAATTTCTGAACGGTTTTCTACACACACACACAAACAGAGACAGATATAGATATATATATATCTATATCTATATCTATATCTATATATATATATATATATATATTTTAACTATCAAGATGTCTGAAATGACAACTAAACAGAGACAGATATAGATATAGATATATATATATATACACACACACACACAGAATAAACATGAAATAAACATTGCATACAGTACCCCATGAAGGCTTTGCATCCGTTATACCATTTGACACATATAATGTAAAATGTAGAGTTACTATATTACAGATAGTGTGACTCATATCTTCCATAAACACAACATAGCCTGTTAGTACTTTGTCCATGTCATTTAATGTCATTAATAAAATAATATATTATTTTTTTCCCATTCTCAAAGTATTTTCATAAATGTTCAAATAACTGTAAAAATAACAAAAATATTGACAACACATGTCTTTGGAAAGGCATTAAAACCTATGGGAGTGTTCAAGTTTAGAGGACTAGGACATGAGATCAGAATACTAAATGATCCACTTAGTCTAAACAGTAATACATAGCGTTTTCTTTCTCTCCAGAATGACATATTTCAGCTTGATTTTAGTTTGAGTGCATTAAGCAGTAGCATCCACTTTAAAGGTAGCGCTTCACCTATACAGCATGCATCTTTTATGTCTGTGTGCTAGGCAGAGCAATGTTTGGCTCTGTAGGCGAGGGTGGCAAAGCTTTGCACAGAAGCCTTTTCGCGGCCGCATCGCCATTCAAGTTCTTATAAGGGGTTTGTCGAGGTCCACGTGTGCAAATGGAGGGAAAACTCATCCCTGCGAGGCAGCAACCCGGACAGGCTATGACCTCCTCCTGTTCCGGAGGCATAAAAGGGGTTGTGGCACCATTGGAGTTAATAACCCCCCATCCCAGAGATTGATTTATAGGGATGGTGCCGTTGTTGTTGTCCATGTCTAGTAAAGGATGTAATGAGGGCGGCTCGTTGGAGACCGGGGAGCTCCAGCCATTGGAGAAAGTTTTGATTGAAGTAGCGACAGCGCTATCTAGTGTATCAGGAGAGTTGGTGCAGTCCATGGGATCCTCAATGCTTTCATCTAATCGGGTTGGAGACATCAACTCTAGATTTAATGGAAGACCAGAGTCATCAGCTACAGCTTCTTGACTGTTCATTTCAAGATTATTCTCCTTGTCGTCCTGCTTAGGGTCTGAACGCCTAATGCTGTCACCGGGTGTATTAAAAACCTCACTAATATTAGAGAGATCAGCAATACTCTCGTTGCTCTTAGCCAACACACTGTCCCTTCCCATGTCCAATAAATTTCCATTGACTGGATTTACATCCGTGTCCATAACACTTTGATTATTTTCACATTTCTCATTGTCAGCAGTACCACGTAGAGACTGGATGTCTTCTGGCTTGCAGGGCAGTGATTGGCTGCGTCTGTGGAAATGGAGAGGGCCTTTGTCACAGGAGACAGGGCTGCTGGGGTCAGGGGGTGGAGGGAGAGCAAAGGTGAGGGAAATGACAGACTTGCTGGGGGTGTCAAAGAGCTTGATGCGGCCGCCGTTGAGGTCTTGGCGCTGGGAGAAGGGGTTGACGCGCATCGGTGTGGTCCCAGTCAGGAAAGGAGACAGAGGGAGGAGCACATCGGACTTACTGCGACAGAGACGTGGGTCAGCGGGAATGTTTAGAGAATGTTTTCGACTTAAAGGTGTTGTGTTTGAGGATGACCGGTCTGGAAACGAAGAAAAAAAAAAAAAAACTAATTTAAGGCTCAGTTTGTTTTTTAATGCCATGCAAGCTTCTTTGGTCATTTTCAAGGCGAAAACTATACTTTAATTATTAAAATTTAAAATAGAAACTAAAAGATATTTAAAGGGATGGTTAAAAAAATAAATACAAAAATTCTGTCATAATTTACTCACCCTCATGTCGTTTTAACCTTTGGTTAATCTTCCCAAAAAAAAAATCACGATATTTTGAATAAAACCTGTGAGGTTTCTGTCCCTCAATTGATAAAAAGCCTAAATTAAATCGGTTCATCATGAAAAGCAATAACATCTCTTCACAAGGCTTCACAAGATTAAATTAGGAGGGACAGAAACCTATTAAAAATATAAAAAAAATATCTTAATTTGTGTTTAGAAGATTAACCAAACGCTTAAACTTGGTTTGGTTTGGAATAACATGAGGGTGAGTAATGATGATAGAATTTTCATTTTTGGGTGAACTATTCCTTTAAGACCAATAAACAACTTTGTTTACAGCAAACATAAATGTGATTTAAATTACGAACATATGCCATGCTTTGAAAATTAGCACTGAAAAGATTTATTTATATGAATTTGCATTATATATGCATTGCAAATAAATAATTTTTATTTTTTTTGCTGACTCACCCTGTACATCAGGCTCCATACATTCACTCTTCTCTCGATCACTCACTATCTTCTCCAGCTCTGCTACCACCTCTGTGAATGAGGGCCGACTGTCTGGGATCATCTAAGAGGGAAAAAACACAGAATTTTTCAATGTAAACACTTTTGCCCGCATTTTTGTGAAGTCATACTAATCGATTAGAATACATTTGTATCTTGGCAGAATTAGAAGCCCTGTTAAGGAAAGGCTCCTAGGTCAACAACAACAAAAAAAACTGCACATGTAAGCATATGTGTCAGCATGTGAGATTTATAGAGGAGGATGAATGTTAATGTGTGATCTTTCATGACAGTAGATAAGAGGTCTTACACTGCAGCAGATGAATGTGACTTTGAAGAAATGAGGTGGACAGTCTCCAACCATCTGCCGAAAGGCCTCCACATCAAGACCAAAGTCCTGAAACACAATCACCACACAACCCTAACTTCAAAAAATGCAACATAGCTGATACAAAGCTGTATGTTACTACTGTGAAGAGTACAAGCTGTACTGTAGAAATAAATCATCCTGATAATGATAGGTTTAGTGTTTGGTTGTAAACAGTAATTAAACAATGATTTGTATTTAAAAGCATGACTTCATTGGCAGTGCTGTAATCTCACATGGAGTAAACTATGACCCATATTCATAAACTGAGTGAGTACATGAGATTGTTACAGGCCTAATATTCATAGACCAGGTGGAAGGGTGAACCAAACGGATATAGACCAATAAAATGCTTTATCAGCAATTTTAGAATAATGGTAGTTTTTCATACTTTTTCTTTTAACTTTTAAGATACTTTCAGTTCAGTTTTTCACCTCAGTTCGTGGAAGAAAGTCAGGATCTGCCTGTATCCGGCCAATAATCTCACAGAGGATAATTCCATAGGCAAATACATCCACCTGTAAAAAAAACAAACAAACAAACAAAAAAAAACTCTTTTCATTATCTAAAACCCTATACATAATAATCAACTTAATAGAACAATATTCTCACTCAATGGGAATAATGGCACCAACTTTGCATTTGAAATTGTAAAATGACAGTAATCTGATAAGTAATGTGGGTGAAACAGTCATTGAAAAGGACTCTGGTCTGTATCTGGGTAATGAATCATATGGTGTTCAACCTTTTCATTGTAGCGTTCTCCTCTGAGCACCTCCGGAGCCATCCAGTAGGGGGAGCCGACGACAGCCAATTTTGGTTTCTCTGCCGCATCACTGAAAACAGCCAAAGGGAAAACAGGAAAATCATTTACTTGAAGTGAACCTACAAGTTCTATTAATCTTTCTACAATTACTCCTCATTTCCTAATTTAACACCCATAAACTCAGTCCATTAACCCACAACCTGATTACGTGTGTGTGGATGTATAAAAATAAAACAAAACAAGGTCTTGTAAGATCTTAATTTTAGCTGGCATACTCATACTCTGCTGAGAGACACTTCCTCAGTTTTATTTTGGTCTGGGACTGTGTACTGGGCATAAATAGACAGAGGGGAAGAGTGGAGACAAGGAAAGAGAGAGAGATAAATGGAGTAAAGTACTCCAGTGTAAACACCATTTGGGGATGTGGGTTAGTCAGAGTGAGGGAATCTACCGCAGCAAACAGCTGAAATACTTTCTCCTTTTTAGGATAGCTTTCCAAAAAGCCCTCATTTAGCAATCTGCTCCGTCTTCCTCACATGTACAAATACTCGTGGTTTTACACGTAAACATGAAGCATTTGCAAGCACACCAAAATATGCATTACATAACATTTACAGAAATAAAAACAGAGAAAATCAGGGCTAAGCTCAACTGTAAAACTTCTCTCTCTCACACACAGACTTTCTTACAAAGCCATCATTAAAATAAACAAATGCAGGGTGAAAAACAAGTCCCTTATGACTCTGACATCACATGTACACACTGGATGTGTTCATAATGGAACACTAGCTTACTACTTGCTGCATACATATGGCGCTTTTCCACTGCATGGTACCGCATGGCTCACTTTTGGGGGGTTTTCCATTGTGTACAGTACCTGGTACCTTTTTCAAAACCACCTCGGCTGAGGTTCCAAGTGAGCTGTACCATTACCAAAATGTGACGTGTAAACCCTGCTGATCACTGATTGGCCGGAGAGAAGTCACTACCTGCATCATTGAACTTGCGACACAAGACACTTGACCCGCTGGATTAAATCAGCACAGCCAGCAAGGATCGAACGCAACTTTTTTTGAACGAACGCACATTTTTTAAACAACAAAAAAAATGCCTGTTTCGTAGTCTGTTGAGGAAGGACAGACATTCCTCTCATTGATAGCAGAGGAGCAGATCCAGCGAAAGCTTGATGGGATGACGCGGAATGAAAAAGTTTTGAAAAAGGCAGCGCAACTATAACGACATGTCTAGAATCCCGCCCACTCAAAAGCGGTACTAAACTGCAATGGAAACGCAAACCGAGCCGAGCCTGTACCGTGCAGAGCCATACCATGCAGTGGAAAAACACCAATAGTTCCCTTTCAGCCACTTACTTCGATGTTGTGTTGAAGTTCCGACACTAGGGGTTGCACTTGGGAGCCCAGACACCTCTGACTTTATTGAGAAAAGGCCAATAAAATTGGCGAGCAAAATTTGCATAGCTGGCCACGCCCTGGACATGCTGCAGCGTCTCTTTAGGAGATGCAGCACTGCATTCACCTTTCAATCTCCTCATTGTTGGATCTGTGGCACAAGCTTGCCCATACACAGATAAGTATACTAAGAGTACCCCTGGGTGCTTCAACAGCAATCTTATAGAGCAAATTTTCTCTTAAAAGAGCAATTTCTCTAAAACAGCTTCACGGATGTATTTGTGTGCGTTTACAACATGCCTTTCCATCAGTGTCCTTCTGGTTGCGGGTTGTACATCTCACCCTCTGACAGGCACGATTGCTGTGCTCAGTGTTTGGGCCATGCCCATACTGAAGCAGCTTTTGTGTATGGTTTATGTTCTTCTTGTGAGGACATGGCCATCGGCAAGTTGCACTCACGGCTCGCATTCTTTTTTTATAAAGACCACGAGTCACCTCAGCTGCTTCTTATCCTGGCCCTTTTACTTCCGGGTAACATGGCCTAGACGATGTGCACTGAAGGAGAGCAAGGAGATTTTGCGGGAGCAGTTCTGCCGAATGAATTCCCACGGATCTCTCATTCCTCCAACCGCACGTGTTCTCCAGTAAGAGTTTCTGGGTGAGTTTAAGAACCTGCCACAGTGCGGGTTCGATTTCTCATTCGTGGCTCGTGATGACGATGAGTGTGTGTGGGTGCTGTGTGTCAGTCTGAGATTGACGCTGAGATGGCAGCCATGCTTACCTCGGCAGCAGAGAGCATCAGGCTTGAGTAGACTACTCCACCCTGTCCCGAGCGCTCTTGCTTAGTTGATTGGTTCTTGGAGACCAAGTGCGACACTCAGCCGTGCTCCACCCCAGTTCCTTTCTTCACGGAAGTGCATGAGGAGCTGATGAAATCGTGGAAGGCACCTTTCTGCCATAACACGATACATCGGTTCCTCCCTTGACAGCGGTCCAGCGAGGGAATAAATGGGGGTTTCCCGGATGGAGAGAGCAATTGCGGTGCATTTGTGTCCAAGACGCTGCCGCCTGGAGGGGCTCCCGTCTAGAGCATAAGTTACCTCATCCTTTGAGGCGAGAGCTTATACTGATCCTGGACAAGATGTGTCCGCTCTGCACGCCATGGCTGTCCTGCAGGTATCCAGGCCAGGGTCTGCACAAGGGTGGTCCTGACATGGAGCATGCAGGAACTGCGTTCAGCGACTGACTATGCTCTCTTGGTTACGAAGGTCACTGCGCAGGCTCTGGGGAGAGCGATGTCCACATCAGTGGTCAAGGAACGCCACCCGTGGCTCAATCTGGCAGAGATGCGAGATGCTGAGAAAATGAGTTCTCAATGCTCTCTTTGGCGACACGATTTAAGAATTTATGCTGCAATTCTCCACAGCTAAAATCAGAGGCCATTAAACACTTCCTGCCTCGGTGTGGGTCAGGTTCTACCCTTGAACCCCTGAAGCAGCAGCCTCCATCTGTTTATTGCCGGGGATGGCCCACTGCAAGGACTGCTGAGGCCCCACAACAGCCTGAGCCGGCAGTCAAGTCTAAACAGTGGCCAGTCACTCGCAGGGAGGTTACATCGCCAGTCTGTCCTCAGGATGCCAAGAACCCACAAAGGGCTTCGTAGAGAACCTGAGATGGGCGACCAAGGGAGGAGGGAAGCTGACGAGAATAGCTCCACTTCCGCCGGGGGGACGGGAGGTGGATCCTGCTGGGCTCCGGCTGTCTGTCACATGGCAGAACAGTCACCAGATGGTCATTAAAAGAGCTATTTACTCCTTTCCTAGTCACATTCCCGGCGTTTCTGGTCCTCCCATGTGCGACGGCCAGGTGCTAAAATTGCGCATCAGAGCCTGTTTGGACACAGATTCTCTGCCCCTTTGCAGCCCCTACTTCATTGTACCCAAGAAGGGTGGGGGGCTCGGACCAACCTTGGAGCTAAGGGTGCTGAGCTGGGCCTTTTACAAGCTCCCTTTCATAATGCTAACCCTCAAATACATGTTAACATTTGGGACTGATTAGGACTTTGGGTCAACTGAGAGAAGGACAAACTCTCCCCTGTACAGTACAGAGTATCTCTTTTTTCGGTGTAGACTGGACTTGGTCACTATGACAGCACACCTCTCAAAGGATCGTGCTCGGTCTGCTCTGAACTGCTTGAAAATGCTCTAGTACAAGATAGTAGTCCCTCTCAAATACTTTTCAGAGGCAAATGGCATCCTCAGTCGGGCTTACGCTGTTGGGACTGATGCATATGAGACCACTTCAGAAAGGGCTTCATACCAAAGTCCTAAAATGGGCATGGCACCGAGGCACACACCTTGCCTGCCATCTCTTTCTGTGGAGCCAGCAAAGACTCAGGTCTCTGTGTGCCCCTCGCATTCCAGGCGACCTCAATTGTGTAGCAGTCTCCCTCTCACGGCAGGTCACACTCCGATGTTAGTGGAGGTTCCACCTGGGGGTCCTGCTGTTTTGGAGTCAATTCGGTCAGGCGCAGATAGATCTGCTGGCCTCACAAGAATCCACTCATTGCCCACTGTGGTTTCCGTGACCAAGGCCCCCTCGGCATGGACACACTGGCACAAAGCTGGCCCAGGCCTACGTGAATATGAGTTTCCCCCAGTGAGCCTCATTGCACGGACGCTGTGCAAAGTCAGGGAGGACATGGAACAACTCTTGTTTGTGCCACATTATTGGCCCCTTTGTCTGCTTCAATCTCCAAACTAAGGATATCCCACTGGATTGTGGATGTGATCCTTACGGCCAATCAGGCCAGAGGCTTACCATGCCCACTGGGAGTGAGGGCACACTCAACCAGGGGCGTTGCTGCTTTGTCAGCTTCAGCAAATAGTGGACTCATTAGCGGACATTTGCAGAGCTGCAGGTTGGGCTACACAACACTCCTTTTAGAGGTCAGGTGGTAACCTTGCAAGCTATACCCCTGCAGGAGGGGGCCCCTGACCTGTCTCTGTTGTGCCCGGTGTGAGCCCTACACATCTGTTTGGAACACACACACACACACACACA